GGGCAGGTTACCTGGCTCAAACGGCTTTAGCTAAATGGATGTGTTCCTAGCTACTCTTTCTTGTATTTCTCGTGCATCTTTGAATTGCTGAAGGAACGAATGGATGTAATGTGTATAGTTTCATGGAACATCACATCGAACAGTAAACGTATTCTGAATGATGGTGACAGGGGATGACTATCTCATGAACGTACACATAACCATTGATTCGGGTGTCACCATTCCCGCTCTTGTTGCCTGATTCGTTATCATCGGCATCAATCACGTTTCCTGATATGGTAGTCTTTGCAACTGCAACAGCTCTGAAGGGATAGGTGAGTAAGATGGAAAGAGGATGATTTTCATATAGGAGACGTCGAGATACAACTCAGAAGCTTTTATAGATGGTTAATCGTACAGGATACGATGCTCGATCCTCGCCAAATGCAATGCATTCGAAACACGAGGAAAAATGCCATACCAAGATGGCATGAAATCGTAATCACTTAATGCAACCATAATAATCCACCTTGTACGCTTATATGTGGGCATGGATAAACCATAATCAACATCATGTCCTTTGTGCAGTTATTACATGCACTTTGCACTGCTATCATCCACATGAGCTTGCATACAAGGTAACCATCTTGATCTCTTCCTCGATATTGACCAGGTGTGTTATACAAAGCGAGTTGTAGTGCAAATGAAAAGGTTGACGACACCCATCCTAATAGAGCCGCATCATCATATCAAAGGGACCTTGTAAATAGATTACGTAATGCGATTACAAGGGCTACTAATGCACGGCAAATACGAGTATCTCGACCACAAAGGGTTTAATCATTCTACATACTGCTTATCATGGTTGCCTATGCCATTTTGTAGCCCAGCAGTTAGGGTGGTCTTGCTATCATACATGGTCCCATCCATCCTCGGATCTATAATCATGCATGCGATCATCGTTCTCAATGCTTACAAGAACAATTTGAAAGAAGTCTATTGCAATAGATGAAGGTATTTTGAGTCTATTACGGATGGGCATGTTCAGTTTTATTATGAAGCCACATACATGATGGATGTCTACCAGCGTGATTGTGGCACACACTCACCCGCTTAAATCCCGCCACCCGCATAAATCCCCAGCTGCGATGCTCCCAGTAAACAAGCGCTCTTTATTCCCAACAACGACGACAAGGGTTCCTTCTACACTTGACGACTCTCTTTAACTCTCTTTACCCGTTGCTTTTACTTCTTGTCCACATTCATTGTCCAAATCTGCCAACAGAATGTGTGTCAAGCCGACATTGGTGTCCTGCTTACGCGTCATCTCTTGCTCGCTTCTTCTTTTCTACTTGTCTCAGCTTCCTCTTTACAAAACCGGTACAACTTGCCTCTTCCCATTGAGTCTCCCCGTCGTCAACAACGGTCATCGCCTGAGCTTGTTTCACTTGTTGGAGTTGAGCTTCCTTTTCTTTACTGATCGAGAGGTGTCCAACAAGGCTATGGAACATGAACGTGCTACCAGCAACCCACGACTTTTTACAAACTTGCGTTCATGCGCTTTGACATGGGTATTGGCAATGTAAGTGGGATAGCGTGAAAGAAAGCTTCGATATGATCTAAGCAGGTCCTTATTTTCTGCCATGAGCAGATGCTTCTTCAAGCATTCGAGCATTCGTGAAGGTCCATCCACGCTCTCGTCCTAGAATGTATATGCTTCGGTATCAACACTATCAAAGAAGGATCGTCAGCTATACCCGACATCTATTGGCCAAGTCCTTTGACGCTATCCATGCACAATGTCTTTATGGCTCTGCTTCAACGGTGCGCTATGAGGATCTTGTTTGATGCTCTCATCATGGTACAAGAATGTGGGTCATGGTATCAAAGACTCAAGGTATATGCATTGATTGTTTGGATCATGAGGAAGGTTTGGATGATGGAACTTTAAGGTATGCTTGTTCACGGAGGATTGGATTTGACATCGTATGTACACAATTGGGAGGTTCCACACACGATGAACGAAGGCAGGATGGAAGATGGTAAGCGCATGTGATGTTGGAATACAAGTGGACGATGGGGATTCTAGTTTAGTAGCATTATTAGTATATGCTTTTTCTTTTGGCCTTTGAAAATAAATCTGTTCAGCGTATGATTGGCAAGGATGTGGTTGGACTACTGGTATTGGTCTGCGAAGGACATGATGGCAGCTTATAGCTGTATACTTTGACACCTTTTACCCTGATATTCCCATGTATACACAAAAAGGAGTACTCCTATGCCCAGTATTCCTTGATGATACACATCCATTCATGAAACGACCCTTTATCATTCTGGTCTGCAGGTCTTCAATCATCATCCGATGGGCTCACCCAGCATAAAATGTTAAACGTGCGGTCTTGGGAATGGCCATCCAATGACAAGATCTCCACGAGCAGCCAAAGTTATCGACATCGGATATGCCCTGATGATTCCTAACCCCCATAAGTTTACCTTCATCCTCCCAATAAAGTAGTTTATGGTTGACTTTCTATAGTGATTTCCTACAATCGACCATGAATGCATATGAAACACTGGATACAGCGGGATTATGCATATGTGATCAACCATCGGAGGGATAAAAACTCCAGCTATAGAAACCCCAATGGGTGGTGGTAGCAGAGAGATAGTGCTATGACCAACGCGTCAACGAAGGTCGGCGTAACAAATATCGGATGATTGTGGTACGTGAACACCACGTCGCGTTATCATCTTTTTCATCATAAACATGGTGTCGCATTGCGATTGAAGAACTAATTTTTTACCATTCGGCATAATGGATGTCCTTTGTTATGATTTTAGAATGAGCATGAAAGAAACAAGTCTTGGTTTTCCTCTGTTTGGTCATTGTGTAATGCAGATGATGATTGATCTCTCAGGAGGTAAAGTGGTAAATTGATGATAGATGTCATAGTTCAATCCAAGATAGAATGATGAATATCCGGATGAATGCTTACGTTGCATCTCCAGATCCATGTCACCCATATAATGGATGTTTATCGTTAATAGCTGTTAATGTGATAAAGAAACGGTGCCACGAGCATGCATGGTTGTCACACGAAGATGGTATCGCGTTGCCATCATCTTTTTGATTGCCATGTCAACCTTTTCTTGCAAAAGCTGCATGTATCCCGAACCTTCATTGTCACAATGTTTCCCTGATTGCCTTTAATAAAGTCATCCCAATCTCCCCAAGCAACTATCACCTCCATCTCCATCCAAAACACCAGACATACCACCACTATCCTCCCCCAGACCATAATTCCATCAATCACATGCACCAGTTTCCATTAAAAACCCAATCCATACCAATCATCCATACATCAGACACGAGCTCTTGGCGTGAAAACAATATGTATATTGTCGAAGAAAAGGACTCGTCGTAAACAAACATAGGCAATCGCCATGATCATCATTTTTCACCCATCCGAGCTATGTAGCCTTGAGCTGTTTCATCGATACCATCGCTTGTAAATACGCTTGCAAGAACCAGACCGATAGATAAAAGGGAGAAGAAGAGACAACGTTGGATAAGGCTGATGAAGGAAAAAGATGATGCAGTAAGTATACCATGTAATCACTAAAATCCTCATTCTTGTAATACCTTGCTGTTGCCTATAGCTACAGCTATATGAAGTGACCCGTAAAAGGCTGTTCGGACTGTCAGCATTCACCACATGGGGAGCAATGGGGAAGGAGCAAGTCCAGAGAAGGATCGAGCGAAGGCAACTTTTCAAGAGCTCCATTGCGTCCAAACATAATTTGCTGCACATAGTGGTTCTTTCACATAGCGCCAACGGTTGTTTTTGTTGTGAATGCAATTGCTGGCTTTGGGTTGTGTTGACATGGGCGCGAATGGGCCAAGTGGGAGAAAAGAAAAGCTTGGTTGCAGTGGGAAGAAGATGGCGGCGATTTCAATCCTGGGCTCCAAATGGAAATAAAAAGATGTTTATTGAGCTGCATGATGTTAAAAAGAAACTTCCGATAACTGATCCTTTCCCTTGTCACATGCTTGTAGTAGTAAGCTTACATTCATAACACGTCAAAAGCTCCACCATCATCATCATCCATCAACGTGTTCGTGTATTCTTGTTTTTTATCATTACATGACTCAATGCTTATCAATCAATAAAGTAGTAGCCGATCGTTGGTGTATCGTATCCACGATCATCTACGTGTGGGAGATGTGTCTTTAACATTTCTACGATTGCGTCTTCAAGAGGGGCACGCAAGATGAGATGCTGCAGCTTGTGGAATGAGAGGATGCTGAATAAATCCGGGTTCGGGATCCCAGCAGCATGAATACATAGCCTTTTGAGATTCGGATGATCACGCAAAGGTTAAATAGCACCTTCCTGTAACCCAGCACCATGATACACCAGATCCATTTTTCAACATTGGGACATTCCTTGGCAAGTGTGTTGGCCACTTCATAATAGCTTCCGTCATATTGCAACTCGCCAAAGTTTATATCCAACCTGCGTAATTGATGAAGGTCACCAAGGAGATGGAGCCAAGGCAAAGGATGTATGTCATCATGGTACCCTGTAAACGTCAACCGTAGCCAATTCAGCTTTGAGCGATGACTAAGCAAAACGTGATGCAAAACAAGTTCACGACGCGACTCGCATTCCATAAAACCAGCTACCACGCATAGAACTTTTAAATCTTCCAAATGAGTGATTGCATCCAAAAGAGCACGATTACGATCCATGCATTGGGAAACAGTATAATAAGGCTCAGTGCTCTTCTATTAGAAGATGCATGCAGAGTTTCACAAGACAACGTTGGATGGATATGCCAATATTAAAAACAAAACAGTGCTTTTATTTGCTATCAGCTCTATACAAAGGGTGCATGTCTACTTACAGATTGGTGCTTGTAAAGATGATACATACACGATGTTTATTCTATGTACTATTTTACTACTATGGCATCATACGTGTTTATTAATATCATCATGTTTACTGCTTCCGTGGGGATCATAGCAACCCATGCATTGTGTCGACAACAATCCTCATGTCAGGCCTTAGCCTCTTGAGACGCTTAAGATCGTTCTTGATGACTGCACGAGCAGGATAAATAGTAATGCACTTGAGCTGTGAGAACGTTTGAACCGCATTCCAGAACTTGCCACCATCATCGATGCCATTGATTGGAAACGCCATTTCCTTTAGGGATCCAAGTCGTTTCAAGGTGTTCATTGATTGGGTTGATGGTGCATTGGGGCATTTGATCTCAAGGCATGATAAACAAGGGCATCCTTTGGTAAGCTGGTCAAGAAACCTTTCCATTTGGTAGCCATCCCAAGGATATGTAAAACCAATTCCCAAACGTGTAAGCGTATTCAAGTGGCAAATAGCATCAAGCACCTTCTCAATGCCATACGTATCGTCAAGGGAGTTGAATCGAATAACAAAGTCCTTCAATTGTATTTCTTGAGCGACACCGTGGATATAGCCTTCAATGGACGCATCACTGGTGGAAAGTATCAATTCCCAATTAAGTCGTAGCGTGAGTATCTGCAGGTGTGGTGGTATTGTATCAAGTACAAAATCATTTGTGCAGATTGTGTCGGATGTGATCTCCAATTCCTCAAGTGCAGGTGCATTGCGTGGTATCCATCCTCCACATCGGTTGAGAACAAGCTTTTGAAGGCGAGGGTATTGCATACTGTAAATAGCGTTGTCTTTGATGTCAAGAACGATATCCCATTCAAGGTAGATCAATCTTTTGTGATAATGCTTCAATAAAGGAATGATGTTGTGATCACTGTAATGAGTCCATGAAAAGCCGTCAACAGAAAGCGCCGTGATTCCTTTTTCATCGCATGGATATCCTTCATCAGAATAGCTGAGCTGCACGCCTTTATCATTCACCTGAAGGCGAAGCATTGTGATGGATGAACAATATTCTGGCAAGATCAATGCAGATTGTGTATCGTTGCATGGCAACAGCGTAAGCCTTCTGAGTGATGGAAACCGTTTCGCTATCTCGACCACCTGATCGCTGCTGATCCTTTTGCTTGACTTGGTGATTGATAATTTCTTCATGTTGGGCCATGTTGTCATAGGGAGAGAACTCATATCAGCATCGAATGGATTGACTATGTCGAGTGTCTTGAGATTGGGACAAGCAGATACAATATCAGCTGTTGGTAGGATGTTGTCTTCAAGGCTGATTTTGATATGGAGATGTGTCAAGGTGTTGCTGATTGACTTTAATGCTGACAGAAATCCGATACCATGAACATTCGCAAAGCCTAATATAAACCATGGTCAACACATGGATGGTCGAGAAAAGGATGCTAGTTACCATTAATGTGCAGGTCACGTAACAGGCCAAAGTCGTTTTCACGTAGTATATCGCTTAACCATGCTCCTTGAGAATACGATGCAACAATCAATCCCTTTGCGTGACGAGCAAACTGGACAAGTTGTGAACAGCTATCCCCCTTGGGATCCTCATCAACGCCGACCATAAAACGTAATCCACCGAAGCATTCATGAATACGATCACGCCATACTTTGGACACATGCATGTAAGCATACGGAATACTCAAATCCAGAAAATCACAATCCATAAAAAGGGGAATGATCCTTGTAACAACAATCTCAACGGGGAGTTGGCTGATAAAATCAATGCGTTTATTCTGGCGTCGCATGGCAACATGTTTGACTTGTTGCAGTATAGCATAGTGTGTGTCGTTGGTATCCACAAGGCTGAGTCCCTTGGTGCAGACATCGATGGCATCATGCTGTTTTCCTTGTTCACTGTAAATAGCGGCTGCGCGTATATATCCAAGTGCTGAAGTGGGTGAGGTCTGTTGCATAATGTTAGCATCGTGAAGAGCAGCGTCGAAGTTGGCAAGCTTTGACAATTCCAAGGCGCTTAGATTCAGAGTCGACAAGTTGCATTGTGGGGATTGAGTCATTGGTGTTGTTGAATTGAGAAGAAGCTTTGTGAGTTTGCTGGGAAGAAAGAGCAGTGAGAGTACACAAGGGGCAAAAACGGTTCAAATATCGGACATTGGGCTATTCACCAAAGCAGGACCCGTACACTTTAACCACACGCATCATCATCATCATCATCATCATCATCATCATCCACAGCTATTGTACTCGTATCATCCATGTATAAACAATAAGTAAATCCATCACCTTGGTGTCAAAAATAACATCCATCAGCATTGTTTGGAAGTAATACAAGTGCGAGGGAGATACAAAACAGGGTCGTTTATTGTATGCGATAGGTAACGCCACAGCAGCCGTTTACCGTATTCGTGTTGCACGCATGCATGCTTGTGTCACCCTTTTTTATCACATTAATTGGTAAACGACGGGTACCATTATATGGGGCAACGTGTACCTAGAGATGTAAAGGTATCATCAGCTACATTTTGCATGCTGGATTGCACTATGGCCTGTAGAATGAATTTACCGGTTTTCTTCCTGAGAGATGAATCATCATCTGGGTTACACAATGTGCAAATACATGATGAACCAACACTTGCTTCTTTAAACCCAATTCTAAAACCATAAGGAAGGACATCCATCATGCTCCATTGTATGAAAACAATTCTTCTACTTGCAACACGAAATGATGATGCGGTGTTTATGATGTGTAAGGATGATTTGGGGACGTGTTGATCACGTATTACAAGCATCCGATCTTTGTTACACCAAGCTTGGGCTATGATTAGTCGAGGTGTTGCGCGTTGGATTTATCTTTATGCTATCACAGCCATAACGTTTCCATAGTTGGAGCTTCTTTTTTTACTGCAACGATAATTGACTACATTGTAACCCCACTGTATACATCGTTCTACTGATCCTTATCGTTGACTTGTAGGATATCAGCTTTATCAAGCATAAAGACTTTTATTGCAAGGATTAAAGATACTGCTATGGAGGTTGGGAAAAAGCCAAAGCATACATGGTGCCGTTAAGCCTGTCGAATCGTAAACCTTTCATTGGATGGTCATTCAAACATGGCAGCACATTTGTTTTTTATGCTAGGCAAGTCCAGCGGATGATGATCCATGGCTTGCTGACTAAAATCATAAGGGGGTATTGGATGATGTGACACGCGTCCATAAGAAACAGTGGCAATACGAGTATTCCTTTTTGCGCATAACTGATGACACAAGGTAAAGGTTGTCAAAGTATCCAGCTATAGGATGCCATCATCCCCCTTACATACCAATGCCAGTAGCGCCCAGATCATATCCTTTCCAATTATACGCTGACCAGCTTTATTCCCAAAGAACAAAGGAAAAAGGCTACACTAACCATGCTAGCTAAACCACAATCCCCATGATCCACTTGTATCCCAACTTCAAATGGTCTTACCAGTTTCCGTCCTGCCATGCTTCCTCAAGTGAAGGGCCCATAGATTGTGCGGGTATATATATCAAATCCAATCCTCCGTGAATAAACATACCCAAAAGCTCCATCATCCAATCCTCCCTGATAACCAATCCATATACCTTCTTCGTCAAGAATACCATCACCCACATTCCTTGTAACCTGTCGATAACATCGAAACAATCCTCACAGACCACGTTTGAAGCCGAGACATAAAGACATTGTGCATAGATCGCATCCAAGGGCTTGGGCAATAGATGTCGTGTAGCTGGCAATCCTTTGCTGATAATCTGGATACTGAAGCATACACATTCAAGGATAATATAAGCACCTGTTTGGATCATACACCACCTTCTTGCCCATTACATCCCACCTACCATTACCAATAGCCATGTGAAAGTGCATGAATGTAGTTTGTAAAGAGCCTTGGTTTGCTGCCAGCACGTTTATCTTTCATAGCCTTGCTGGGACAGTTGTACGAGTGACGATAAGGAAGCCCAATACAAAGTTCATCAGCCTGAGTAGATGGTGACCCTTGTTGACGATCGTTATTCACTGGAGGGGTCGTTGTGAAGAGGCAAGTTGTTCGGGTTGTGTAAAAGAGGGAGCTGAAACAAGTAAAAAGGTACAAGGAACCAAGAGATGACGCGTAACCTGGAGACCGATGTTGGCTGAACACGAATCGGATGGCAGATGGTGAACAAGGAATGTCGACAAGGAGTAAAAGTAAAGCGTTAAAGAGAGTCGTCAAGTGTAGAAAGCAGCTGTCGTTGTTGTTGGGAGGAATAAAGAGGGGCCGTTGTTTACTGCGAGCACCTGAAACGATTAAATCCGGAACGCGTCCCGACTTGTGGCGCTATACTCCTTTCTCAGCTTGGTTTCCATGACACACTCTAATATTGAGGATTTATGCACGGGCTACGTACAACCACCAACTACTGAAGGCAACGGAGAGCACGTACCGTATCTTTGCGACCCAATGCCTCTTGTCAATGAGCTCCTTGAATCCACTCTGTCAAATCTGAATCAAGGCGTTTTGACATTGACATACGGCCTGAATCTCGACGTAGCTCTTGAGCGTGCCCACAGTATACGAGATATGTTGCCTACTTTGTCACTCGGTTTTGCACATGCAGCCAGCATTTACAGCGCACAGGGGAGACAGCGTCATGTCATTGATATCTGTGACCAAGGACTTCGTGTTGTTGACACCCAGGATACGCATTATGCTCTGCTACAACGTCTCCGACAGGATGCTGTGCAACGTGAGAACATACGCATTGACCCAATCAAGAATCTTCCTTATGACGTTCTTTCGACAACGCTCATTCCCATGCTTATGGATGATGATACGCCTTTGGATTCATTGACACCCTGTCCCTATTTGCATGTATCACGTGTATGGCGTCATTGTATCATCCAATGCCTGGGTGGATTACGTTTTCGTACTGGACACCAGCAAATGAAAAACATTCAAGAGGGATCTCAACTCTGCATTTTTTCTCGGCATATCAAGTCCTTGTATGTTTCGGATTATTCCCAAGGCACATGGCTATGCGATTTGCTACGACGTAAAGACTTTTGCATGCTTCAAGAGTTAACCATTAAGCGTAAGTTGTTGTATGTACTCTTTTATGATTGCTTTATTTAACCATTGTTTATAAAAGGCCTTTGTACATTATCCCTGGATGACTTTGTTTTGTCGTTGAAGTCAATCGGCAGCACTTTGACTCATTTTCGAACGGCATATGGGAGCGTGTCACCACCGCTTACAGGAGTACTCTTGGCCTGCCCAAATCTTGTTTCGCTTGAGATTAACCAGCCCATTGATACCTATCTCTCCGATCTACCAAAGATGACATGGCCCAAGGTGACAACATTGAAGATTGCGAATACAAGGAAGACCTATGGTTGTGATGCGATAAGGGCAATTTGTGAGCGTTTCCCATCTCTCAAGTTACTATCCATTGGTTCATGCTCTGATCTATTATCGATACCCATCATCCATCAATATTACCCATCCATGAGAAGCCTTCAAGTTCTGGTTGAATGTTCTATTATTGGTCTTCGTTACTCTGATGAAGGACCTGATTGTGAGGAGCCTGGGATAACGGATCTTGCGATTTCGATGGATAACTGGAAACGCGGTGAACCTGTTCCTGATATTGGTCTTTTATTCAAGCAACATCATCATACGCTTGAAAGTATCACCATGGACGTTCATACTGCCGTCGACGAATCAAGCATGTACGACATCAAGTACCCTCGCCTAAAGACGCTCAGTCTGATGAATATTGGATGGTGGATCCCTGGCAATGCACCCATGTTACAAAACTTGCATATTACACAGGAAGCATTCATCACATCCCCGGCAGTGCTTGCCACAATACCACCCAAGGTGAAGGAGCTAACGCTGACCGATCTTGATGGAGCTCATGTTGGCAACAAATCACCCATCGTAAACTATCTCCATCGCTACATCGATCATTCTCCTTTACGAGTTCTCGTTATTCACAACGCCAACATGAACACGATGGGCAATATTCTTGATGTGATTGGTCGTTTACGTCAGCTTCGATCATTGTTCTTCATCTACGAGGAGTGGGATCCCAAGCAAATGGAAAGCTTTTTTCGCAAACTCAATCATGGATGCCCTCATTTAGCCCACATTCATCTCAACTGCATCAAAGCTCCATCGGAAGCTTCCATGCTTGCTTTGAAACCTCTTGCAAATCTGAAGGAGTTTACCATTCATATGAGGTCCTCGGATGGTGATTTTACTTTTCTTGAAGCCTTGTACTCGTTACCACAACTGCAAGGTGTTCATGTCCATCCTTTGGAGGGAATCAACAAGCATGAACTCCACCGCCTCAGGCAGCTTAACCCGAATGTGGAACTTCTCGCCACCTAAATTTGCTCACGCTTTTCAACGTTCCATGGATTACCTTTCTCTTGCGCAAAATATCTCTCATATGTGTTACAGCCATATTCAAACATGATGAAATAAACCTTTGTGGTACTTGAATCACTTTCCTTTTCAGCATGCATGCTTAAAATGTGTTCACTTTTAAATCATACATGACATAGACAGTATTGTTTACCAATGAAAGTGGATAGCAAATCCATGCGTACTTCTCGTAGACAGCTTTACAATGTCGTAATTGTATGGTACAACGGATTGCTGGCAATTAACAGGGTTGAAGTTTTACACGTGTTACGTTGCACTCGACTTTGGTTATTAGAAAATGAACGGGAAGGCTGCAAGGTAGACGTGAAAAGTCGACCATTAAGACTATTAGATGTTTATAGGAGGAAGACATGTAGAGCGTTCGAGTACTAGTTATCACTTTATGTCGTCGAGGGGTGGATTCTTTAACAAAACAACGGGATGAGAAGCATCCCTTTGTGCAACGATACACTACCAAATAAAGATGCAGGTTGCTTTTTTACGCTATCATCAATGTATGCGCCATCATCATCACGCAGGTTGTCTATGCTAATCATGTACATTTACTGGTTTGAAGAATCTGTGGGTTTACGCGTAAAGATGCCGTATTGGCAGCGTATGCTGGGAGTCTCACTTAATATGGCAAGCATGGGATTATTTATACCCTGATAAGCGAGGCATGCATGATGCAAAACATCATCATCACTCTTGCATTATTGAATCACGCACACCTTTCGAGAAGATTCCACCACCGAATGTACCGTGCTCTCTGTGGCTATCCTGATCGTTAAGCAAGTGTTATCCTACCTTGGGTTACTTCCCAAACACAGTGCATGTGTAACAAACCAACAGCAAGATACAGTGATTGCCATCCTATTGCTTTACCCATACCAGAGGTTGGCTTGTCGAGTAGCACTCTTAAGCGCAATGGGAGATTCACTCCTCTGGAGGCGTTTCCATGTCATCCAGCGATTGCATATTTACTAAGATCGCGTATTTTCAACGACGCATCCTTCATCATCATCATCATCATCATCATCATCATCATCATCATCATCATCATCGTCATCGTCATCTGGAATACAATTACATGCAGCAATTTGATCTCACAGGGTATTTAATAGGTATATCAACGTAGATAAACACCATGTTGCAGAAGCACAAAGGGATGAATTGCTGTTCAACTCAAACAAGTACAGCAGCTATAATATCATGCTGCATGTAAATCATATGCAATGCGGTTGAGATTTTGACCAGAGGGCATGTTTTTATTTTTTATGCATGGTGAGTGATAGTAAATATGGGGTTACATATTAAAAGTGATCGAGAAAGAGGGTATTCATCCATAGGATGGACGAGGTCATCCGCCAATCAAATGTGTTACATAACGCGCCCTTTGCCTGGAGCGGCCTAATTCTTCTCTTCATTAGTCCTCGTTCTACTTCCACCACTACAACAAACTTTTAACTTGCTGCTTCCAACTCTTGTTGCCACCACGATCGACAACCTAACAACCAATGTGCAACTCCCATCAATTGACAACCAACGTACACCATTGCGTTCAAAAGCTTGTCTCAGCACTTGACACCAGAGCTTCGTTACTTGCCGATTGTGGTCAACTCTAGGTCGCCATGGGCAACGCATCGGCTACCTTGAGTACCGCGACTACTTCGCCCGTTAGATATCTCTGTGCAGGGAGGTCCTCTTGTGACCGAGGACGCCACGCGTCAACTATCAGCTCCTATGATAAAGCACTACAGCATGCATCAGCCACGAATCGCACACATTATTCATCATCACCTCTTTTCAGCAAAAGAGGGATCTTACAACATACCCGACAGGCTGATCTATCATGTGAGCGAATGTCCATTGGAGTTGTCAATCTCAATTCTGATTCAGAAATCTTGGATGAAAAATAGGGATTGGAATTGGTCTCGAGGACCACCACCTTGATGCTTGCAGCACATGACGACAAAGAATAACGATTTCGAACGGATTGGCATTTCGTATTGGGCCTCCTTTGACAACAAGATAATATGATCAATTACCAGGCATGGTACATTTCATCGAAGCGCTTGTTGTATTGCATGAAGACAGTGATATCGTGTCGACGCCAATACTGCCTTCATCGATAAACGATCGTCAACCACGAGCATTGCTTCAACTCCTTCAAGATTGCGCCAACAGTGAAATCTTCACTCGTCGCAGCGTACCCATCACGGCTATAGGATATGCAACACTCTGTTAATCAACCAAGGAATCTGCTAGTCTTGCAAAGATACGGTTTAGAATGGTCATAAGCATTGGTACGTATAGTGGTATGGGGGACAGGATTGGCAGTGTCCAAAGAGGGGGTTGTTGGTTACATGCTGCTAATCATTATCATCATCATCAACAAGATAAGGTGCTCCCTAAGCAACAAGTTCCATGTATGCCATTGGATTGGATTGCATGTATGTTTCATCACGTCCATCTTCAGAGGAGTCTTCCAAGCGACACGACACCTATGCTCAAGCTTTGTTTACCTCTTGACTTGCGGATTCTTTTTGGATGTTGGGATGGTTTCGCAAAAGAATGCTGGTTATGGTATTACAAGCTGTGATCGTGATGTAGGTTTGGATGAAGGTGATGGTGCGTTGGTTATGATTACTCAAGAAGGCCTCGGTCAAGGTATGTATCTATGCAATTTGGGGACATTTAGACGTTGGATGGAGGCAGGATGGATATCTGCAAGAGCACAGAATGTTTAGACACTAGTAGACGTTTCGCATTATAGTTGAGCTAGCATTATTGTTATAAGCTTATGGTCCATCAAAATAAAAATCGGCAACTTACAGTTGAGGACACATTCAAACCCCTTTATATCATCTTTTTCATGCATCATTCCTATGACCTACACCATTTCATGTCTCATGTGGAATAACTGATGTGCGATGGTTTTTGTTTTCGCTGGGTAAGCCATATAGCAAGAACGTTGGTTGTAGAGGGCTAAATTATCGCGCTGGTGATGTTAAATGACGGATGATGATTGGCTGTTCTCTGGAGGATGATCGATTGTACCATTCATTCGGTGTCAGCATTGATGCTATTGTCGCCTAATCCATTATCAGGGCCATCGATTGGATTTTCGGAATGATGGGACTGAGCAAATGCAGCTGCAGCAAAAAGCGAGCTGTAACCAAAAAACAGAAAACGGATGATTTTCATCTTGAGGACGTGGTGGTACAACACCATGAAAACACTTGCGTTTATACATGGTTGATCGTACATGGGCCATGATCATGCGTATTGCATCACCAAACATCATGCATTGCAATCACGATCAAAAGGGTCTCCCCTGGATAGCATTAAATCATCATCATTTATGGAACGGTTCTTGTACGCTTATATGTGGGCATGCATAAACCATAATCAACATCATGTCATTTGTGCACCCAATACATACACATCGCACTATTATCATCCATAGTTACTTACTTGCATCCAAGGTAGCCACGTTGATCTCTTCCTCGATATGGATCTGGTGTGTTATGCAACGCCAGCTGTAGTGCAAATGAAAGTTTGACCATATGCATGCTGACAGAGCCCCATCATCATTAAAGGGACCCTGTAAATAGATTACGTAATGTGATTACCAGTGTTACTAATGCATGCCAAGTACGAGCATCTCGATTCCAATCATTCCACACACATTCTCCATATCACGATTGCCTATACCTTTATGGTAACCCAGCAGTTAGGGCGATCTTGCTATCATACATGATCCCATCCATCCTCGGATCTATAATCATGCATGCCATCATCGTTCTCAATGCTTACCACAACAATTTCAAAGAAGTCTGCAATGATAGTTGAAGCTGCTTTGTATTTTGAGTCTATTACATGCATGATGGATGTATACCAGCGTGATTGTGGCACACACCCACCAGCTTAAATCCCGCAACCCGCATAAATCCCCAGCTGAGGTGCTCCCAGTAAACAAGCGCTCTTTATTCCCAACAACAACAACGACTCTTCCTACACTTGACGACTCTCTTTATCGCTTTACTTTTACTCCTTGTCGACATTCCTGGTTCACTGTCTGCCATCCGATTCGTGTTCAGCCAACATCGGTCTCCAGGTTACGCGTCATCTCTTGGTTCCTTGTACCTTTTTACTTGTTTCAGCTCCCTCTTTTACACCACCCGTACAACTTGCCTCTTGACAATGAGCCTCCCAGTCGTCAACAACGGTCATCGCATGAGCTTGTTTCACTAGTTGGAGTTGAGCGTGCTTATCTTTAATGGAGAGGTGTCCAACAAGGCTATGGAACGTGAACGTGCTGCCAGCAACCCACGACTTTTTATAAACTTGCGTTCATGCATCTTGACATGGGTATTGGCAATGTAAGTGGGATAGGATGGATGGAGACTGTGATATGATCTAAGCAGTGTTTATTTTCGGCCTTCAGCAGATACTTCTTCAAGGCATTCAAGCATTCATGAAGGTCCATCCACGCTCTCGCCCTGGAATGTATATGCTTCTGTATCGATACTATCAAAGAAGGATCGCCAGCTATACCCGATATCTATTGCCTATGTCCTTTGACGCTATCCATGGACAATGTCTTTATGGCTCTCCTTCAACAGTGCTCTGTGAGGATCTTGTCTTATGCTCCCATCGTCTTTCAAGTATTATTGGTTATGGTATCCAGGACGTGGAGGGTATTTGTATCTGTGATGATGGCTTTCACGTTCAAGGAAGGTTTGGATAGTGGGGTTTTATGATTATTCACGGGGGTTTGGATTTGGTATCTCTATTTGCGAAATCTGGAGGCTCTACACACGTTGGATGAAGGTAGGATGGATATTTGGCAACAGTGTCTGGATTTGGGATACAAGTGGAGGATGGAGATTCTCGTCTAGTAGCATTGTTAGTATAGGCTTTTCTTTTCTTCTTCGTGAATAAAGCTTGTCAACGTGTAATTGATAAGGATATAATTGAACTGTTGGTATTGGTCTGTGAGGAACATGATGGCATCTCATAACTGTATACTTTGACAACGTTTACTCGGTATCATCATTTATGCAGAAAAAGTATACTCATGTTTCTGCTTTTCTTATCCACACATGTCGTTTCATGCAACATCCCTTTATCGCCCTGGTCAACAGGCCTTGAATCACCAATGAATGGCTCACCCAGCATACGATATCAAACCTGTGCCACGTTTGAATGGTCATCCGCTGAAAGATCTCCACCACCAGATACAGTTAGCGACATCGTATATGAATTGATGATTCCCAACCTCCATAGGCGTATTGTTAATCCTTGCAATAAAGATCTTTATGCTTGCCGTGATACAGCTGGTACCTTACAAGTCGACCACGAACGTTAACGAAACACTGTATCCAGTAGGATTATCTAATTCGGTCCACCATCGTTGCAATAGAAAGGCTTCAACTATAGAAACGCTATGGGCCGTGATAGCACAAAGATAAGTCCCATGCGTAACGTGTCAACCAATCATGATTACGTGTGGTGTAACAAAGATCGGATGCCTGTGATACATGATCAACGCGTCCCAATATTATCCTTGCTTGTCATAAACGTCTCAGCTTTTATTCGTGTTGCAAGATGTGGAAGTATTTTCATACAATGCTATCATGATTGATGTCCTTTACTTAAAGTGATCATAAAAGCAACATGTACTTGGTTCACCATATACTTGGTGATTGTGTCACCAAGATGATGATTCATCTCTCAGGAGGTAAACCGGTAAACCGATCGCAGAGGTCATAGAACAGCTCATGATTCGAAGAATAAGCATTTCCTAAATCATTACATTGTATATGTATGTTCACCCTATAATGAGTGCACATTGCATAGACATTAATGCGATAAAGAAAAGGTGATACAAGAATGCGTGCAGGTGTCACGAATATGGTAAACAGCTGGTACGTCCCGCTAGCCCAAGGCGATAAATCCCTCTCGTATTAACATCACTTCCGAGTAACATTGATGGCCGCTATTATTGGCACCAAGATGCTCGCTTTACATGATGATTATGGATGGATGATACAAGTATCGCAGCAACGGCAGGCATGAGGATGATGATGATGATGATGATGATGATGATGATGATGATGATGATGATGATGATGATGATGATGATGATGATGATGATGATGATGATGATGATGATGATGATGGTGTATGTGGGTGTGTGTGTTACCATAAATGTCCGCCTGGTATACATGTACAAGGATGTTGGAAATCTTTATTGTGGTCTATGATACAGCTTATAAGGGTCATTACGAGAAGGATGATTTAAACGCTGAAGTAAAATGATAACTCAAAAGTGGTGATGGTGTCTGTCAACGATGACCTTCAAGTCCGGTCGTTCTTCCTTGAGATATGTAAGGTTGCTTTTATGGATTGCGTAATTAGGGTAGATCCTGATACACTTGAGCTGAGAAAACCTTCGAATCGCATCCCAAAATTCGTCAAAGCCATCCGAGCCATAGACACAGAATGCAAACATGTTTAAATGTGCAAGTCCTTTCAGGGTATTCATGGAATAGATCGATGGTGCATTGCCGCATCTGAGTTCAAGGCGGGATAAATGAGGACATGCTTTGACAAGTCCATCAAAGAAGCGTTCCATTCGATAAGGATTCCACACGTCCGTAAAACTGATCTTTAGACATTCAAGTTGATCGAGGCGGTAGATAGCATCCATGACACTGGTGACGTTCTCCTCGCTGTTGAAACGCACCACAAGTTCTTTGAGCTGACATTGTAGAGAAATACGAGTGAGATATCGTACGACCGATGTCTTGTCAACAAGTTGCGGTATATCGTGGAGCTTCAACTCGAGCTTTTTCAAGTGCGGTGGAACCGTATCAAGGACTTGAGGCTGTGTGCTGATGATCCTTGATGTCAACGTCAATTCCTCTAATAAGGGTGCATTGTGTGGTATCTGCCATCCAGACCAAAAGAGACCAAGTTTCTTGAGACGAGGGTACTGAAGATGCTCAATGTTCTCGGTATCCAAGCTACTATCCATATCCCATTCAAGGTGTTCAAGCGTGTCGTGGTACTTTTTTATAATGGAGCTGGTGTCCTTGCATGTCTCGTCGGGTAAGCGCTCTATTTCCATGATGATCTTTGTCACTTCATGTTCTTTGCTGCTGTTTTCTTCATGCGAGTAGATATGCTCAATTCCCAAACAGCTTATGCTGACGTCAAGGCGATTCACTGAGGGGCAATATTCTGACACAAGAAGGGTTGATTGGATATCGGTGCATGGCGAAAGTGTAAGTTTCTTGAGTGATGGAAAACGCTTCCAGATGGCGGTTACTTGATCGCAGGTGACATTCTTCTTTGCATATAAAAGCGATAGTGTCGTTAATGTCGGCCATGTCGTCATAGGTAGAGAGGTGACATCGGCATCCATCGCATCAGTTATGTCGAGCAACTTCAAATTGGGGCAAGCCAACACAATCTCGGCTAATCCTATATCGGGTCCAGATTCCATATTGAGATTCAAATGGGTCAAGGTGCTGCTAATTGATTTCAATGACGAGATAAAGCGGCCAATATGGATGCTCACGAAGCCTTATAGATATACATGAGTAAATAAAAGCAGCTTATGAAAGGATGGTATAACTTACTTTCGATAGCTATCTCTTGTAAGGCGCAAAAGTCATTATTATCAATCAAATCGCTGACCCATGTTCCTCCACCATAACTGTTGAAATGCAATGACTTGGTATGTCGAGAAAGGTCAATGACTTGGGAGTGCTCGCGCTCATAAACAACGAAACTTAATTCGCCAAAGCACTGAATAATACGATCAAGCCATACACGAGACACGGATAGATAAGGACTCGGTTGGTTGGAATACAATGGAAAATAATCCATGAACATGGGAATGAGCGTGGTGATAACAACATCGACTGGTAGTTGGGTGACAAAGTCAATGCATATGCTTTGGCGTTGCATGGCAACCTCTTTGGCTCGTTGCAGCCCATCATAGCCCATATCCTTGGTATCAACAACATTCAGTGCCTGGTTGCAGATATCGATGGATTGACGTTGTTTTCCTTGCTCGCTGTAAATGGTTGCTGCACGTATATAACCAAGTGCTGACGAAGGTGCAAGTAGCTGCATGGCGTTGGCATCTTGAAGGGCTGCGTCAAAATTGGCAAGCTTTGTCAATGCATTGGCGCGACGATCTAAAGCTGACAGGATCGATTGAAGCGGTTGATGGAGTTCAGCGGTTGCATCGTGGACAAGTTGTACATATTTTCCAGTGGTTGCTGTAAGTGTAGGTGGTTTGCATAGGTCGCCCAAAATAGAGTGGGACATTGTGTATTGGCTGTGGGACAAGAGAGCGCCGAGTCAAAGCGCGTAGCACCAAACACAAAATACCTTGGCCGAGTCAACAGCCGCTGTTTCATTCCCCTTTTTACTCCAACAACGACTCCTTTGTATACTTGGCGGCCCTTTCTTTTACACATTGGCAACTTTGCTCATTCGTCTTCCGTCAACAGATTGGTCTTCAGTCGACATTCATCTCCTGGTTACGCGCCGTCTCTACGGCAACTGTTCTTGTTGGTTCGTTGCTGTTTGCTTTGTTCAACTTTTTTCCACCACCCTCAACGACTTTTACGCTTAACGAAGACGGCTCAAGTAGAAAACGATCGGCAACAAAGGCCACCATTCAGCTCGTCAAAGATCCTGCTGTTGGTCTTGTGCATCGCTACCGCTCCAAAGTTACCTAACCTGGCTACGTGCTGCCAACAACCAAAGGCTTACAAAGGTGCATAGACACACAATCGTATGGTCACATGTGCTGGTACGTTCAATATTATGGGAGAGCAATGTTGAGAGGGTTTGGAAAAGGGGTTATTTGTTCCAAGCGGCTAATTATCATCATCGTCGTCATCATCATCATCATGAACAGGTGCTTGTTCAGCCTTGGTGCGGTTGCAGGATGTGGATGCTTCGGCAGGTAGGTAGTCAAAGGGGGATTACACGGTACAACACATCTTTTCCTCAAGCAAGTCTTTTGTTACGATCCTGTCTGAACGCGTCTTTATCTCTTGGTTTCCATCATGCTCTGGTACATGGCCCTTGGATGGTGTTTTTCGCTTTCATGTAATTCTGCTGCTTATACAGCTGGTGCCCAAGTATGCGAGAATGGCTGGTAATCATTTGAGTCATGAAGTATGATTGGATGGTGGACGTTTGTGATATGCTTGGTCAAGGAGGGTTCTTTTCGGCATCCTTCACTGGAGACCTATGCATGTTGGATGAAGGCAGGATGGATAAGGTAAGTGCTCTTGGACCTGTGATACACTGGAGGATGCTGCTTATTATAGCACGCTAGCTGTATTAGAGTAGCTTTATGGTCTATGGAAATAAAGATGGTCGGCGTCAAATTGTCAAGGATATAACAGGATTACCGGTAATGATTGATGGAGGATGTGAGATGCTTTATATTGGTATGGGTAAATCGATAGGATGGATATCATTGTTTATCATTCGTTGGTTACAAATGGTCGGGGTGTTTGGAAGTAACACAAGGTAGGATAGCACTTGCGTAATGGTCAGCGTAGCAACAAGGCATACGGTTCATTTCATGATGGAATCTTCTCGAAAGGCGTACGTGATTCAATAATGCAAGGGTGAGGATGATATTTTGTTTCATGCATGTTTTGCTTTTCAGCGTAAAGATTACCCCATGCACGCTATATTAGTTGGCGATCCACCATCCTTACGAGTAAAACAGCAGATCCTTGAAAGAGCCAGTATTGGCATTGGTAACCCGCGTGATAACGATGCAGCATACATTGGTGATAAAATAAGAATGCAACATGCGTCTTTATTTGGTAGTGCATTGTTCCACAAACCAACGCTTTTCATCTCACGGTCTTTGTTAAAGGATGCAGCTATCCCCAACATAAAGAGATGACTATCACACAAACGCTCCACTGCGTACCATCTATACGCTGTACTTGCCAGCATGATAGAATTTCCATATTGACCTATGCTGCATTCGTTCCTTTTCTAATAAAGAATGCCAGGTGCCACTAAAGCAAGCTGTTGCCATGTCGTTTTATATAATCACAACACCGTTAAGCTGCTTAGAATAAGCAAGCATGAATTGGCAACCCACTTTCATTAACACCTAAAGTTCGTCTTTATATTGTATCTTCGAAAGCGTACATTTTATGCATACATGCTGTAACAGGAAATGATCGAAGTATCACAAAGATATATTTCATCATGGTTGAAGAGTGCTATAGCGCATACAGAGGTATTTTGGGGAAGACTAAAGTAATCCATAAGAACGTTGAAACGCATTGGCAAGCTCAGCTGAGAGTAGTCGTCAAATCAGGTCTACGCTCCTTGAGCCGGCGGATTTCATTCATGTTAACTGCCTTGGACCCATTGATAGCAACATGCTTGAGTGGTGTTAACGCGTTGAGAGCTTCCCAAAAACCATGATCCTCATCCAAAGTTTCCATCAAAATCCCAATGTGCTGCAGATTCGCTAGTTGCTTCAAGGCAAGCATGGCAGCCATCGATGGCGCTTTGATGCAGGTAAACAAAAGCTTGGCTAAATCAGGGCATGCATGGACAAGTTGGTGAAAAAAGCTTTCCATTTCATTGGCATCCCACTCATGATAGGCAAAGGACAATGACTGCAGCTGAGACAGATGACAAATTGAATGAAGGACGTTGTTCATGGTGTTCATGTTGTTGGTGTGAATAGCGAGCTCTCGTAAATGAGGATGATTGACATAGCGATCGAGGTATCCTTCGATGGGTGATTTGTCGCCAAAATGAGATCCATCACCACCAAATTCCAGTTTCAGCTGCTTCAACTTGGGTGGTATTGTGTCAAGCACTACAGGGTGCGTGCTGAATGTTGTTGATGCGATGCATAGGTCTTCTAGCATGGGTGCATTGCGTGGTATCCACCATCCACTCTTATCGAGATGTAGCTTTTTGAGTCGAGGGTATTGGATGTTGTAAATGCTTGCGTCGTCAATGGCGGTATGGATCTCCATTTTGATACTTTCAAGTGTCTGATGGTGCCGCTTGAATAGTAAACTGAGCTTGGGTGTAGGTAAGAGACGATTCCATTTATCCATGCAAATCGCAAGATCCGTTATCCCTGGTTGATCACATTCAGGTCCTTGATCAGAGTAGCGAAGAACAACATGAGGGAATTTACCCGTAACGTGAAGACTTCTCATGGATGGGTAATATTGATGGATGATCGATGTTGATTGCAGATCAGGGCATGAATCAATCGTAAGCTGTTTGAGGGATGGAAAACGCTCACACATTGCTTTTATCTCGTCAAAGCCAAAAACGTCAACTGCATTCACAATCGCCAATGTCGTCACTTTGGGCCATGTCATCTTTGGTAGTTGTGTGAGATAGTTGTCATTGCGCTGGAATATTTCGAGTGAAACAAGGTTCGGGCAGTTCAAGAGTACTCGTGCAAATGGTGAAGGGCTCCTGTTTGATCGCTCATAGATGTCATCCCTTCGTAAATGAGTCAAAGTGCCGCCGACTGAAGTCAATGATAAAAAAAAGTCATCCACGAACATGACACAATGCTCTTTTACAAACAATGGTAAATAAACCAACCATGAAAGAATGCATGATGCAACAACTTACTCTCAATGATTAACTCTTGCAGCATGCAAAAGTCGTTACGACGCAGCAAATCGCATAGCCATGATCCTTTGGAGTGGTACGAAATACACAATGACTTGGTATAGCGAGCGAAAATGCTGATTTGCGATGGCTCTTCAAGGTTTTCCATTTGCTGGTGTCCAGTCCGAAAACGTAATCCGCCAAGGCATTGGATGATACACTCACGCCATACTTTTGACACATACAAATAGGGGCAGGGTTCCACTGAATCCAAAGGTTCATCATCCTCCATAAGAATGCGAATGAGCGATGTCGAAAGGAGATCAAAAGGCAGCTGCTTGATTGGGTCAATGCGTATGTTCTCACGTTGCACAGCATCCTGTCGGAGTCGTTGTAGCATAGCATAGTGCGTATCCTGGGTGTCAACAACTTGAAGTCCTTGGTCACATATATCAATGACATGACGCTGTTTCCCTTGTTGACTGTACATGGTGGCTACATATACAAAAGTGGGTGCCAAACAGGACCGGTATCCTTGTACCATATCAGCATCGCGAAGAGCAGCAACGAGATTCACGCCGCTTGACAATGTCAAAACGCCTCGATTCAGAATTGACACAACGGATTCAAGTGACTCATGTACAAAAGTCGTCGCGTCGTAAACAACTTCTTCATGATCTTCGTTCTCTTCAGTAGGTGCAACATGTTCGTGCGGCTTGCATAAATCCCAAATAGAGTGTGTCATGGTAACTAGGCTGAGAAAAGAGGATAGCGCCACAAGTCGGGACGCGTTCCGGATTAAATTCATTGTTTCAGGTGCCGGCAGTAAACAACCGCCCCTCTATTTACTCCTTACAACGACAGCTACTTTCTACACTTGACGACTCTCTTTAACGCTTTACTTTTACCCCTTGTCGACATTCCTTGTTCACCGTATGCCATCCGATTCGTGTTCAGCCAACATCGGTCTCCTGGTTACGCGTCATCTCTTGGTTCCTTGTACCTTTTTACTTGTTTCAGCTTCCTCTCTTACACAACCCGAACAACTTGCCTCTTCACAATGACCCCTCCAGTGAATAACGATCGTCAACAAGGGTCAGCATCTACTCAAGCTGACCATCTTTGTATTGGGCTTGCTTATCATCACTCGTACAACGGTGTGCAACAAGGCTATGAAGGATAAACGCACTGACAGCAAACCAAGGCTCTTTGCAAACTTGCGTTGGTGCACTTTCACATGGTTATTGGCAATGGTAGGTGGGATGCAATGGGCAAGAAGGTGATGTATGAAAAACAGGTATTTATCGTATGCTTGAATGTATAAGCTTTAGTATCCAGATTATCAGAGAAGGATTGCCAGCTACACGACATCTATTGCCCAAGCCCTTGGACGCGATCTATGCATAATGGCTTTATGTCTCTGCTTCAATGGTGCTATGTGAGGATATTATCTGATGCTCTTATCATGTTACAAGGAATGTAGGCTATGCTATCCTGGACGAGGAACGTTTATGTATTGGTGATGAGGGAGGATTGGATGGTGGTGCTTTTGGATATGTTTATTCACGGAGGATTGGATTTGCTATATGTATCCACACAATATAGAGGTCCTACACACGTGGAACTATGGCAGGATGGAAACTGGTAAGAGTATTTGAAGTTGGGATACAAGTGGATCATGGGATTGTGGTTTAGCTAGCATGGGTAGTGTAGCCTTTTTCTTTTGTTCTTTGGGAATAAAGCTGGCCATCGTGTAATTGGAAAGGATACAATTGGGCGCTACTGGCATTGGTATGTAAGGGAGATGATGGCATCCTATAGCTGGATACTTTGATAACCTTTACCTTGTGTCATCATTTATGCACAAAAAGGAATACTCGTATTGCCACTGTTTCTTATCGACGCGTGTCACATCATCCAATATCCCCTTATGATTTTAGTCAGCAAGCCATGGATCATCATCCGCTGGACTTGCCTAGCATAAAAAACAAATGTGCTGCCATGTTTGAATGACCATCCAATGAAAGATTTACGATTCGACAGGCTTAACGACACCATGTATGCTTTGGCTTTTTCCCAACCTCCATATTATCTTTAATCCTTGCAATAAAAGATCTTTATGCTTGATAAAGCTGATATCCTACAAGTCAACGATGAGGATCAGTAGAACGTTGTTTACAGTGGGGTTGCAATGTAGTCAATTATCGTTGCAGTAAAAAAGAAGCTCCAACTATGGAAACGCTATGGCTGTGATAGCATAAAGATAAATCCAACGCGCAACGCCTCGACTAATCATAGCGTAAGCTTGGTGTAACAAAGACTGGATGCTTGTGATACGTGATCAACACGTCCCCAAATCATCCTTACACATCATAAACGCCGCATGATCATTTCATGTTGCAAGTAGAAGAATTCTTTTTATACAATGGAGCATGATGGATGTCCTTCCTTATGATTTTAGAATTGGGAAGTGTTGGTTCATCATGTATTTGAACATTGTGTAACCCAGATGATGATTCATCTCTCAGGAATAAAATCGGTAAATCCATCCTACAAGCCGTAGTGCAATCCAGCATGCAAAATGTAGCTGATGATACCTTTATATCTCTAGTTACACGTTCCCCCATATCATGAATACTCATCGTGTACCTATTAATGTGATAAAGAAAGGTGACACAAGCATGCATGCATGCAACATGAGTACGGCAAACGGCTGCTGTGGCGTTGCCCATCCCATATGATAAACCACCTTGTTTTGTATCTCCCTCGAAATTTTAATACTTCCAAACAATGCTGATGGATGTTATTTTCGACACCAAGGTGATGGCTTTACTTGTTGTTTATACATGGATGATACAATTACTATAGCTATGGCAGACATGAAGATCATGATGATGATGCGTGTGCGAGTTGTTCCACAAATGTCCGCCTGGTATCTGCTGTGGTGAATAGCCTTGCACTTACATAATGTCCCATCTATTTGAACCCTTTTTGCCCCTTGTACACTCTCACAGCACTTTCTTCCCAACAAACTCACGTAGCTTCTTCACAATCCAACAACCCCAATGTCACAATCCCCACAATGCGACTTGTCGACTCTGAATCTAAGCGCCTTGGAATTGTCAAAGCTTGCCAACTTCGACGCTGCTCTTCACGATGCCAACATTATGCAACAGACCTCACCCTCTTCAGCACTTGGATATATACACGCAGCCGCTATTTACAGTGAACAAGGAAAACAGCATGATGCCATCGATGTCTGCACCAAGGGACTCAGCCTTGTGGGTACCAACGACACGTACTATGCTACATTGCAACAAGTCAAACATGTTGCCATGCAACGGCAGAATACCCGTATTGACTTTGTCAGCCAACTTCCTGTTGAGATTGTTGTTACAAGGCTCATTCCTCTTTTTATGGATTATGATCTTCTGGATTCGAGTACTCCGTATGCTTACATGCATGTGTCCAAAGTATGGCGTGATCGTATTCATGAATGCTTCGGTGGGTTACGTTTTATGGTGGATTTCGATGAGGATCACAATGAGGGAAGGTGTTCACAAGCGATCCAGTTTGCTCAGCATACAAAGGGATTGATTATTGCATGGTATTCGCAAGGAACATGGTTAAGCGATCTACTTTGTGGAAACGGCTTTTGCATGTTACGGGACCTACACATTAATGGTAACTTGAATCATTTTTCAATCATCCTTTTATTAAACATTACTTATATTAGGCTACGCAAATACCCATGATACAGGCTTTCTGTCAGCATTAACGTCAATCAGCAACACCTTGACGCATCTCTATATCAGCCTCAGCCTTGAAGATGACATCCTACCAGCAGCTGATATTGTGTCTGCTTGTCCCAATCTCGAGACCTTGGGCATAGTCAATCCATTCGATGCTGATATGAGTTCTCTCCCTATGACAACATGGCCCAACATGAAGATATTATCAATCACCCAAGCAAGGAAAAGGATCAGCAGCGATCAGGTGGTCGAGATTGCGAAACGGTTTCCATCACTCAAAAGACTTACTTTGTTGCCATGCGATGATACCCGATCTGCATTGGTCTTGCCACAGTATTGTTCGTCGATCACAAGGCTTCAACTTCGGATGAATGATAAAAGTGTCCAGCTCATCTATTCGGATGAAGGATATCCATGCGATGAGCAAGGAATTACCTCTCTCGCTATCCACGGCTTTTTATGGACTCGATACAGTGATCACGACATCATTCCTTTATTGCAGCATTACCAGAGAAGATTGATCCACCTTGATTGGGATATCGTTCTTGACATCACCGATGAGACCATTTACCGTATTCAGTACCCCCAACTTAAAAAGCTCGTTGTCACCCGGTGCGGAGGGTGCATACCAGGCAATGCACCTGCACTTGAGGAATTTGATATCACATCCGCCACAATCATCACAAACGCCCATGTATTTGACACGATACCACCACACCTGCAGATACTCACGCTACGATTTAATGAGACGTTGCTAAGTTCCCGAATGTTGCAAGTTGAAAGCTATCTCCATCGCCTCGTTCAAGAAAAACAGCTAAAGGAGCTCGTAGTTCGCTTCAACAGCATTGACAGAATGGATTGCATTGGGAAGGTGCTTGATGCCATTTGCCATATGAACACGCTTACACGTCTGCAAGTTGGTTTTACAAATGTTTGGGATGGCTACGAAATGGATCGATTCCTTACCCAGCTTGTCAACGGATGTCCTCACTTGTCATGCCTTGAGATCAATTGCATCAATGCACCATCAACCCGATCACTGAACATCCTGAAACGGCTTGCATTCCTAAAGCAAATCACATTTTCAATCAATGGCATCGATGACGATGGAACGTTCTGGAATGCGATTCAAACATTTTCACAGCTCAAATGCATTACTATTTATCCTCCTGATTCAGTGAACAACAACAACATTCGACGTCTCAAGAAGCAAAGGACGGATATGAAGATCTTTGTCAAAACAATGTATGAGTTACTATGATCCGCATCAAGCATTAAACATGAGAGTATTGAAATACGTTACGCATGGTAGAATAGTACATACAATAAATGTTGCAGTGCTTTGGGGTATTCATCATCTTTTATAAACACCAAATGAAAACACGCATGCACCCTTTGTATAGCATTGTTCAGAAAGGCTGTTATTTCACACAGCATCAGCAATCGCTTCACGATCCACTGGAATTAAGATACTGTATTGTGTGCATCATGTGTGTCTCGATCATTTTTCATCTCACTTTCTCATCATTCTTCAAGTGAACGCCCTTTCATATTCTGAGATCATTAAACGAACATGGTAGGAGGACCTTCTGGGCACCATGATGTTGGCTGTGCCTTGTTAGATCAGATCCATATATGAATGGTACGTGCAGGGGTGTTCAGCATTGAAGGAGGTGACAAAGTCTGTTATACATGTGATGATAATTCATTCATTATGCACGTACTGCTATTATCAATCACTTTTTAATGATATCAATTTCTATTTTGATGGGACACGAGGCTATCGAATACATCTAGGAAAATACTAGTCCACCTTAATCATCACGATCACAATCCCACAAGCCGATACCGTATCCATGGTGACATGATCGAACGCGTACAGTGGAGGCAAATGGATGGAGGAATATGGAGACTCGATTTTGAGGAAGCACTTGGATGACTAAAGGGTGTCGTGAAGCTTGCCAGCATCCCCTTCAGATTCGTGTCCTGAACTATCTCATGCAGCAAGCAATCCAGCGCACATGCTTGGAGAATTGTCCCTTGAATAAAATGATGACACAGTAAGCAGCTTGAAATAATAACCACCCTTTGCTTTGCAAGCATTCCCTCCCTCGTGTATTCCACCTACCGATGCCTTTGTTCATGCGAAGCATGATAAATCCTTGCCCAATCACACCGCCATAAAGACCATAAAAGTGAATTACTAAATAATCATGCCTTAGTACTTGACAAGCAAAATCAAATGCACGTAAATACACGTACCGGAAAGAGTGGCCGATGAAAAGTATATCCAAACACACCGTGTATCTCCCTAATCCAATACATCGATTGTAAACTCTTGCTGCATGGTCTTGAGACACCTATCTACGAGAGCAAATGTATCAGCCGTATGCCTTGTATCGCTGCGGTACACATACCATGTGTGTTACCATCCAATGTATCCATATCGCTTTGGTATGAGGAAATCCAATGATTGCAATACTTGAGGATCCTGCATTAATCCATTAATCATCCTCCCTTGCCTTGAGTATTACTACTCTTTGTACATACCCATATCCAAGGGTGAGTCATCTTCTCAAGCTCTGTTGTTGCTTTACTGGTATATGATCACGCCACAGGATGAATGTTGCTGCTGTTGAGCACAAGCCGTTCGACAATATAGAATCTCCTTTTGCTGTACACTTTCAAGACATCTTGCTTGCCCCATCAACAGTGCAACCTTTGCCCTTCTTGGAAGAATCTCGTTCCACATTCCTCCACATTCTTGAAATTGTCGACATTCCTGAACCAAAAAAGCTCTAAAAAGCCAGGTATATCAGTATACACAGCGAACAAAGACAACCCTATATTTGCACTCTGCCAACACGTACTCACCTTCATGGACACCCTCTCCCACATGGCGTCTGCTAATGAGCTCTTCCCAATGTCGAATTACGAACGTGTTGTTATCGCATCTGGGCAGAAACAAGAAAGGAGTAGCTGAGTACGTGGAGTACCCTTTTGATGCACACAAATGAAAATGATCCATTTCCATGCACCTTTTCTCAAACAGCACCACCCAACAGCCCCCCCGCTTAGCTGCTTCCATAGCAACCCACATGATTACTATCACTACGTGTGGAACAATGCCTGTTTATTTCATATATAAAAGCTACAACGTATAAAAGAGAAGACTACGTGCTTATAGACATTGTATCATTTATGTAAAAGATGACCATAGTAGATGCGTTTGTATATAAGAAAAGCTTTATTTAATAAAAGTAAACAACTAGCTGTGCCAATTCTTAGCCCATCGATGAAGATGGTTTCCAGGTGCGACCACGAGGAGGTGATTGGCAATCCACACCCGTAGTTTAACGTCTTTTCGGACGGAACAGTTTAGCGCCAAATGTCGGGCGGCACATTAGACGGCATGAGCTGGCCGGAATCGTTTAACGCCAGAAACAGGGCGGAAACATTTTTACGTCGTTTTCAGGACGGAGCACTTTAACACCACTGCCCAGGGTGGAACAATTTTAAGCATTGTCGTGTTCAGGACAATCCTTCTGTCGGCCCCCACCAAAGACCAAATGGTCGTGGTTAGACACCCCCATTCACTTACCTGAAGCAATACCGTGTATATATACATACAAAATACCCAAAGACGTATCAGCACTTATCACTCACCCACTCATACCACCACACAAAAGAAAAAAGGAAAAGAAAACTTACCTTGGAGACCAAGGGAGGAAAGTGCTGCGGAAAGAAAAACGAAGAGTTCGTTTGTCGCCATGGGGTCGTATTTATACGAAAATACGCAACCCCAACCTATTGAGGCGCAGCACGTCTACTTGCCCCATCGTTGGGGCATATGGTTTTGCTTACTTTCTTGTTATCCTACAAGTCGACCTTGCTTGAAATTTTGTATACGATTATAAAACCATGGTTTCTGCATCGAATGGTATAACTCGCATCATGATCCATGGGAATTAGGATATTGTGTGCATGATGTGCTGGTGTCGTAGTGTTCTCTTCTTCTTTCCCACTGCCTCATCATTCTACAGGTAAGCCTGCTCTGAAATCCTGTATTCGGTTATAAAATCATGTATTCTCTACACGTTGGTACCAAAAGCACGACGATCCGTTGGAATCTTGATCTATGATAATGCTTTCGCTTTAGTGGTTTATTGTTCTTTGGTCACTTTCTCATCATTGTGTAGGGCCAAATTTGGCATACAGGTAGGAGAATAGCTTTGCCACGGATGCAGATTAAAAGCGATGGTGATTGAACGCGTTGTTGGTATGACATGTCCACATGGGCTTTGCATCAACCTACACAATCTTCACCTTTGACATCCAACCTTGCCTTAGCCAAACCATCATCAACACGGGCCATTGCGTCGACGTGTTTACGATTTTGGTGTTGATGTGGTGGATAGCTTGCATAATAAAACGATAATAACAAGCCCTGTGGATATAATGTGCAACCGACAAATCACGGCTTATTATATAACAACCCGTGAAGAGCATGATTACTATCATTAGTCTGGGTCATTTCATGGTGTGAATTGATGGTAGGATGTAAACAGGGAACAATTGTATGATGCTGCTGCCCATCATCAACATCATCATCATCTTGAAAAGGGATGATGGAATCTTATAGATAGGTTTGTCCAAAAAGGCTATGCATGTATTCATGGGACTTTAAGAGTTGCACGCAATGGATGTCGTTGGCATGGATACAGTAAGAGCTATTATGGTTGTGATAGTGGTTGGTGATGTGCATCCTTACTTGCTAGCTGTATTATCCAATACATCGGGTCAACATCATATTGTAGAGATTCCAGTGTCATCAATGATAGTGGTTTTGTGGTGGGATGCGGTAGCGTCACTCTGAAAGTGGATGTTGTGGTCTTTTTTGTTCATTGGAGCTACCATGCTCTTGCTGCTCTGAATAACATAAAACACGAGCCAATAAACAAATGATGATTAAATACGCGCAATGGAACATGTGCACTGGTCTGTATAGAGCTATAAAAAGACATCCATCATGGCATACCACCAAGTATCATTCCCATGCTTTATTGATTTTGTTGTAGTGCATTTCGGGATTCAGTGCATATCGCGATATGCCCTAGTGCATTTCAGGATTCCGAAATGCACTGAAATATTTCAGTCCTCAGTAGATACCGAAACGCAAGCATTTTAGGATACATACACCAGCTACTTTTCCACATGTTACGCATCACGTGGCGAATAAAGAAGTAAATAATGCGTACCACGAATAAGTCACCGAAACACGGATATTGTCATACCATACCATATCATGAGAACAACTTACATGATGAAATCTTAGTCATCGTGCCAGTAAAAGTAGTATCATGATGTAGAGAACAACCTTACATAATAAAATCTTTGTCATCTTACCAGTAAAAGTAATAGCAGCGTGATGAGAACAACCTTACATGATGAAATCTTCGTCATCGTACAGTAAAAGCAGTATCATGTGATGAGAACAACCTTACATAATAAAATCTTTGTCATCTTACCAGTAAAAGTAATATCATCTGATGAGAACAACCTTTACATAACAAAATCTTTGTCATCGTATCCCGAATAGATAATTCATGTTACGTTAGGCTAGTAATAGTAGTCATCATATGATTATCGTGATGCGTAAGCATGTAAACCATGTAAGTGGTATATTATACTTTACATAATACGATTTCGGCGTTTAGCTATAAATATCGGCTGATGGCATAAGCGATTGCAACATCGTATTCAAGCTTCCTTTCTTTGCCATATTCAAAATGAACAGCGATACTACTGAGTGCTCGTGGCTGTCAAGAAACAAGTTTCAAGAGCTCCTTGAGCACTACCGGTCATTGGCATCACCTACACGACGAACGAAGGTCTTTATTAATCAGGAGATGTATAATGACATCAAAGGCGTATTGGAGGTATGCTTACCATCAATCGTCCGCTATCGAATTGTGCTAACCATTGCTTGCCTTGGTTAAGGATTCCCGTTACTCTCATCAGCGTGGGAACCGATTTGGTCCCTGGGTGCGAGAACGTTTCAAGCTAACCGTTTTTGCGAATGGTATTACTATCGTTACTCTTCTTCGTGATGAAACAAAGATGATTGCAGTCGAGGAGCAATTGTACAATACAGTCACTCGTGCACATGAAGATTGCAGTCATGGTGGTAGGGATGCAACTTTGCATAAGGTATGATGGTTGGGACTTATTTCTTGGGATAATTGATTATGCCTACAAATGTACCTAACATGTCTACATCTATATAGCTTAAGAACTACATTTATTGCCCAGACAGGTTTGTCCAACTTGTACTTAACCATTGCAGCATTTGTGCAACGACCAATGCGCCCAACGTTACCCAGCGGGCTGCACAAGCAATTCATGCTTCGTCTTTTTTGGAAATTGTTCAGGTATGTCGTAATGCTCAAGTACCAAGGTATCGAATGCTTATCATTCATGTTAATTGTACTATAGATGGATTTGATTGACTATGGTGGAAATGAGACTCCCGATGGCCTACCACGCTATATCCTCCATATCAAGGACCATCGGTCGAAGTTCTCTTGGGCGTATTCTCTTTTGCGAAAGGAATCAAGCGTTGTTGGCAAGAAATTACATGACCTTTTTTGTCTTGTTGGCCCTCCAATCTTTTTACAAAGCGACAACGGCGGCGAGTTTACAGCACAAGCAATGGTAATAGTGACAACGCATGATGTATAATGCATGAGTCGATAACAACATGTTTTTTTTAGAAAGATGAACTCTAATCCAACTGGCCAACCCTTCGCTTTATCAATGGTCGACCACGCCATCCTCAATCGCAAGGCCTGATTGAACGTGGCAATAGAACGCTGGTGCAGAAACTCAACGCCTGGGTTAGCAATCAAAACGCTACCGAGGAAGACCCCAAACATTGGTCTGAAGGTCTAGGGATGGTGGTTTATGCTATGAACACTTCAAGGACCAGAGTTCTCCGTGATACCCCGTATCGCTATTTGTATGGCCAAGATCCTCACCCGGATGATACTGTTAACCAAGAATACATTGACCGGTCCTTAAATGGGCAACATGTGGTGGATGGCGAAGCTGTTGACGCCATCCCTGAAATGGTTGAAGTTTACCAAAGCGGAGAAGGTGATGACGAAAGCCGTTCTCAGGATGTTGCAAATACAATGCTTTCTTCACAAGAAGAGGATACAGAGCCGGAGGATGACGATGGTGGTGATGATGGTAGCCTTGACTCTGGAGAGGATGACGATCATGGTGATGATGGCAATCTTGACTTTGGAGATGATGATGGCAGCATTGGCTTTGGAGACGATGAAGGTGGATCTCATGCATCAAATGGTAAGGGATTAAGTTGCTCATGCTATACTAAATTTCGTTTTTAATTGACACAACCAATTAAACAAGATACCTATTCAAATGCCATTGTTGCCAATACTGCTACAGAACGTCTGCAGGTGGAGGAAGGTCATGGTGTTATTGATGAGACGAGCTGTAAGTCGGTATTATTGTTATGGATACATGCCAAGTGATTTACTAATGACGCCATCAAAACAGCGAACAGTGAATCTGGTGACACCGCAACAGCCCCATTTCTCGAATTGCGTGGTCCCGGCGGCCGTGGATTGATGACCATACCTATTGAAGATGCCGACGGCGTTCGTGGCATCTATGACACCAGCTTTAGATCCAACGTTCGTCATGCCTACCGAATTGGTGTCAATGGTGAACGTGTACCAGTGGAATTGGATGACATTTTGAATAGTGACGATGATCATGGCATTGCACCTCCTTCACCTTTATCATTGTCAAGCACTGAACCATTGGCCCGAAATGAAGAGTTTGATGGCCACGCAAATTCCGAGCACTTTACTAGCAATGATGATCATCAAGATGGTGGCAGCCTTAGTGATGTTTCGATCAATCGCCATAGTGCCATTCGGAATGCAGCAGCAACACACTACAACAACAACGTAGAATCCATTCAACAACAGTAAGTGTACCATTGAAGACCATCATCACCACGTACTCACATTGTGTTATATAAAGGCTACTTGCTAGGCAACCACCAACTCCGCAATATCATGTTGGTGACTACGTGGGAGTGCACATCGACATTCGTGACCGAAGCAAGCGTCACCCAAGGTACCTCCCTTGCATTGTTTATGACGTAGTTGATTTGGAGAATAGCTGTCGTAAGTATAAAGTGCGATGCAAGCATGGCCTGATCCAAACAGCCTACCATGGAAGGGAGCTAAAAGATTTCACGCACCACGAGTTTCATGACTTGGAATCCATTGCAAGGTCACCAATCGACGACAACACGCCAACAATTTCTGTTCGAGAGGCAGCAAGGTTAAGTCGCCAATCGCAAGCACCACCTGTACCTCAAGTATGCAATTGCACCACTGCATGTAAGACCAATCGTTGCCCATGTCGACGCATCAACGCATATTGCAATGATGGTTGCCATCGGGGAACACATTCGGGTTGTACCAATTCCCATGACCGCCACAATGACAATGGCCATAACAAAAGGCGCAAGACACAACGCAAACGCCCAAGTGGTCCTAGACGTATCACACGATCCCATACAACACGGCAAACAAGATCATCAAGACGCCCAGTAGAGCATGTCGCAATACAATGAATGTAGTGCTATCAAGTATTATGGTTACCAGTTTATCATTTTATCATACATAAATATCAGTCCCAATTGTATCCTTGAGTTTTTAAACATGTATGCTTTTCACCTTATTTAACCTTGCGGTGCATACCCTTGCCGGTAAAATGATAACAAAATTACTTGTACGCATCAAAGGAAAACCCAAATGGAAGTCATTTTCAGGAGAGGTTAAAGGTTTTAGATGATCCATGTATTGCAAACAAAAGGAGGTAATGTATTCTGAATATATAGGTGTCACTATCATAAAATGGTAAAGGGGTATATATATGACCAAAATGCCCTAGTGCATTTCGGTATCTGCACTGAGGACTGAAATGCCCTAGTGCATTTCGGAATCCTGAAATGCACTAGGGCATATCGCGATATGCACGGGTCCCGAAATGCACTACAACAATTTCATGCATAGACGTTTTGAAGGTGCTCGCAAAGAACCCAAACAGCGTGGTCATCCTTTCCGATAGCACATGTTACACAAGGATGATGATTTAGACAAGTATCGTTTTCCTCACGGATGGAAGCAAGCAATTAAACAACTATCTTTACGTTTATTGATTTAAATATCTAAAGGGATGGTACAAGAGCCACCGGAAATATCATTGGCAAGGAAAATAGCTGGGTTAAGCGTGCAGCATGGTATGCATGTAAGGTCGTACAGCATTCTTGCTGATCCTCAGCGGCGTCATGTCGCATTGGATATTGTAGTCTCTTTACTCTCCCCCTTTTTCCCACCCATGACTCGCTCAATAGACTCGGCCATCATAGACAACCTACGTGCTTCAGCATCTCAAGGCCAACATGCCCATGTCATTCAGGAGACCTTCGCCATTGGCAACGAATTACAGAATCTTCAACTCCATCTACTCGACATGCGAGCACGATCGTATGTTGCTTGTGCCCAATTCGTCAAAGCCTTGGAGACGACAAGAGCAATGCAACTGATGAATCCAGCGTCAGCACTCGGTTACCTGTGTCAAGGATACATTCATATGGAGCAAGGGCGATACATTGCGGCTACTCATGTGTATGAAAAAGCATTGGCGTGTGTGGACAAGGATGATTTATTGTATGAGACCATCATGACATCCAAAGACAAGGCCATTCAGCAAGGCGAAAAGCGTAGAGACTTTATATGCGGCTTTCCAATGGATATCAGTACTCGTATTATCCAAGAGGTGTTTTCTGATGACAATTATTATCAGCAACGGGAATACGTCATGGTATCATGGGCTTGGTGGCATCGTATCATGGCAACCAATCATCTTGAATTTTCCTTGGATGGTGCTATAGCTTTGGACGAAACGAGTAATATGGTGATCCAGTCTTTCAACTATGTACGAGCGCTTACCTATTACGATGTCGACGCGACATTGAGCCAACTTTTGGAAAAGCATCCCTTCAAACACTTGACAACATTGCATGTAAAGGGTACGAAAGAGATGGGATTCATCGCATTGATGCACCTACTTACGCCATCCTTGTATTCTAAATTTAGGTGCAAGCTCTGAAGAAACGATGGCAGCATTGATGTTGATCGGCACTCAGTTGACGAGATTGATATATGAAAAGCCCCCTTTGGGTCGCAACGACGGTTATACAGTTCGATTGCGAGACGTCTTGGCAACATGTCCCAATTTGGTTTCCTTCAATTGCCAATCAACAATCGACATTTCAGGTCTCCAGCAAACGTATCCAAAGTTACGAACGCTCGAGATGTACACGGTTATTGGAATGGTCGATAATCAGGTCATGATGACGCTGCAGCAACACCTACCTTGTTTGACGATATTGGACATGGCCATCGTAGGCAGATCACAACCGTTGACGGTGGATGATTTATGGTTACCAGCTATACGCCATTTGGGATATGGCGATCGGCCAAGCAAGTATCATCAAAAGCTTACGTTTGAGGAACATGAAGAACAAGGATTGGTCACTCTTTCAATCGCACCTACCAGTCATTTATTCGCCCTTGATGACATTGTACCTCTTGTCATCCATCATCATGCTACACTTCAATTATTGGAGCTCAGGCATCATTGGAATACGATGCGTACAGGAAAAATGAATGACGCCATGCACAACTATCGCGGCATTGCATTTACACGGCTAAAAAAGGTCGTCGTGGATACGCTATCAGAGGACACCAACATCCAATCATACACCAATTTCATCACGTGGATCATTCAGCGTGCACCCTATTTACAAGCAATCACCCTCCACGGCAATACAATGACCAGACAAACATTGAAGGCATTGGTGAAATGTGTTCATCTTCGCAGCGTCGTTTTCAACATGGATCCAGCCCGACGTCCTGATAACCACGATACACTCGTGGCAGAGTTTGTAAGAGACCATGTCAATTATCTGGCGGATAAAGGTGGATCACGTTTAGTACATATGAAAGTACGACTTCATCAAGCAGAGCCTATGCTGATCGACGCCATTCGAGGATTGCAATCTTTGGAGACACTACAATTGGCTACAAGCGACCTCGCACCAGAACCATTTGTTCGTTTTTTCGAATCCCTTCGTCAAGGATGCCACCGCTTGGAAGTTCTCCATATTGAGAATGATGGCGTGATGCCTAACCGTGTCCTATATCAAGTCAGCAGCCTCATCAATCTAACGTATCTTACCATCAGCGGAAACATGCATGAAGCGCAAGCAGGTGTATTGAGCTTACAACGTTGTCGTCATTTACAGCACCTCTCGAGTAATTACCCTATTGATGAGGATATCAAATCCATGATACAAGAGACATTGCCTGATTGTTGTATCGCGGCACCATTACCACATTAGTCATAGGATATCTCACTACGATCCATGTTATATGAAATCCTTCCGTACATAATAAAATGAAGCTGCTTTCGATACCAAAATCAAAAAGGATACAAGTACATACATGTTTGTGCAAAAACGTAAGTAGGAAGACTCCATAGATTAATGATACCCCCATATGCTAGTCAACTTTGTTGTGGCAAGCTGATGATGGTGGTTTTTTTGCAGCTTCTCCCTCCATCATTCGTGGGCATGAATCTTTTTAAGCCATAACAGGCGGCTTTCTTGTTGGTAGCATACATTCCCATAGATAATGCTATCAAAAATTGTTGATAGTCATATATAGCTTTGATAATAAGGAAGCCACCTTCTTCTACTACCACCATAAAGTGCATTGCATGTAGCCATCGCATGACTATAATTGCATGCATGATTATATGACATTCGATTCTTAAATGATCGAGCCATGTAAGCGATGCATGCATCTGGGTCATGGGATCATTTACAGTAACGTATTATTTATTAAACATTGTCATAGTAAAACGGATGATGATGATGATGATGTGTATGCGTAGCGGGTGTTTCCAAAAAGTCCGATCTTCAGGTTTTATAAGGGAGCTCCTTCGCTCTGCCTAATGCAGCTCTTCAAATATGTCTCTCCCAATTTGGAACCATTTATGCCAACAACAACCTACACTCGTTGCAGCCTTCACTGAATGCCATGCAAAACGTGTTCACGATTGCACCATTCAGCTCCATCAGTCGCTCGATTCCATCTTGTCAACTCTGAATCGGCGTGCCATGGCATTGGCAAAGCTTGCCAACTTTGAATCGGCTCTTCGTGATTCCAACGTCATACAGCAACTCTCCCCTTCTTCAGCACTTGGCTACCTGTGTGAATCCACCATTTACAGCGAACAAGGAAAACAGCGTGATGTGATCAACACCTGCAGCAAGGCTCTCACTATGGTTGATACGAAGGATCCTGATTACAGCACATTACAACAAGCCAAGGCCACTGCCGAGCGACATGCCAACATACGTATCGACTTTGTGAGCCAACTTCCTGTTGAGGTTGTCATTACAATACTTGTTCCCATGTTTATGGATTATTACGTGAGCTCTTTGAAGCTATCCCCGTACTTGAATGTGTCGCATCTTTGGCGGGAACGGATTATCCGGGCGCCTGATGGATTACGTTTTACGGTTGAAGACGAGAATGAGGATCATCATTTACAAGTCGTTACGTTTGCACGTCACACCAAAGTATTGCACATTGCCACGTATTTACAAGGAACGTGGTTGAGCGATCTATTCCTGGATAATGACTTTTCCTCGTTGCAAGAGGTGTTCATTGGTGGTAAGTTGTAACCCTGTGTCTTGTTATCCATTTATTAAGCTTTGTGCGTATCTATAAGGGTTTGACGCCGAGGGAGTTTCCGATTTCATCTCTGCATTGGAATCAATCAGCAATACCTTGACGGATCTCACTCTCTTGCTTTGTCGTGGCAATGAATTACGTGTCACGGATATTGTGTCTGCTTGTCCCAATCTCGAATCGCTCAAAGTACATCAGCCTCGCGATGCCGATATCAGCTCTCTTCCGATGACAACATGGCCCAAGATGAAGAATCTATCCATTATCATGGCAGCAAACTACATCAGCCTTGATCACGTGTTGGCGGTTTCAAAGCGATTCCCGTCACTCAAGAATCTTTCACTTTCTATATGCACTGATCTGCAACCAGCGCTCGCAGTTCCCCAACATTTTCCAGCCATGCGAAAATTGGATTGTTTTATATTCGAAGGTGTTGAGATGACCATTTCGGATGATGAAGAATACGAATATGAATATGCAGGGCAACAAGCGATCAACCATCTTCGAATCAAATCCTGGCCGTCCGATCGATACACAACGCACGACCTCAGGACGTTATTGTGCAAGTATCAAGGAACAGTTGTTGAGCTCGAGTGGGCGATGGAATATCATTACAACAAGCCTGAACACCTTTGGAGTATCCAATATCCTTGTCTTAAGAAGCTTACTCTCTGCTCGTCGGGATGGTGGATAGCAAGAAACGCACCGCTACTTGAAGAATTGGAGTTCCGTGTCGATATCGACAATCCAGCCAATAAGATGCTTGCTACAATCCCACCCAATCTGAAAAGGCTGTATATCATGCTTTCTCGTCTTCCTATTACCGATCACCCTGCCGTTGCACATTATTTTCATCGATTGGCTCAGCAAACGCAGTTAACACATCTCTATGTCTCTTTGGGGAACCTGAAGCACGATTACGAATCCATCATCGAGGCGCTTTGTCATTTGCATCATCATCTTGAGAATTTAATCATCAGCTTTCATGACCATTCAGAAGCAACCGACATGGAAGGGCATATTGTTACGATTGTCAAACGATGTTCAAAGTTGAAGTGCCTTCAGATTGCAACCCGAAACGCTCCATCCACCCATACATTGATCGCTATAAGTCAACTTGAGCACCTGCAGCAATTGGCATTTTCTATTCGAGGAGCGGATCAGCAAGAAGGTTTCTGGCAGGCAGTTGAGTCGTTTACCAAACCAAAGTTGATTAAGGTGTTTCCTCAAGACCCTATTCACGATTTGGAAATCACTCGCTTGGCACAACATCGACCCGACATGAGGATCATGGTCCAGGAGGATTTAGAGCTCTTTTATTAAGATTGGCTTTGATCCTTACATACATCAATATTGTTCCCATGATAAGGTACAATAAACGCTTGTGCTATGATTCCTTAATACAATTATCCTCCTACATGTGATGTAACGTGATTCATCCTCGGTCTAGGGATCTTGCTTTTATACGTTGCATCTTATAATGATGAGAGCCCCGTCATTCATTCTGGCACCCCTTGTAAGGCAACAATAGTAAAGCAATGTTGCCATGGAGACATTGGTGGCGGTAGCGGTGTGTATGTTGCATGCATGTATCATTGGCAGTGGCTGATTTCCATGTGTTTGTGTCAAAAGGGTGATATGTCTACTCAGCTTCTCCTTGCTACTTTTACCCGGACCTTACAACAAGCGCGATTTTGGTTCGACATGGGAGCCGCTCATTAGTCAACTCCATATGCGCAAGCGTGTCAATGAAGGTGAGCAACGTGTTGATAGAGTGCAAATGTAGGCTTGTCCTTGTTCGCTGTGTATACTGATATGCGTGTCTTGTCACAGCTGTTGCGGTTCAGTAATGTCGACAATTTCAAGATTGAGGAGGAATGTGGATCGAGATTCTGCTCAAGAACGGCAACGAGTGCTCTGTTGAAGTAGGAAGCTAAGGCGAAGGTGCAAGGTTTGTAGCAAGGCATTGGTTGGCATGGACACCGTTCATTGACGAGCCTATTGGAACTAGCACCAGCATACTTTTATACGGGCGTACCAATCACGTGAGGTCATAGCCGTGCAAGAAGATGAAAGGATACATGGACATCAAGAGATGCAATACATGGTATGGATATACTTTGATGGCCCGTCAAGATGCAGCAACCATGGCAATGTGGACCGTACAAGATTTCCTTGAAGCTGTCCATATGCGAGAAGAGATACCGCTGTGAGCGATTGCATTGATTGTATTGGGATTGGATCAGGATGGTATGGTATGTACAAGTTCCACAATAGCTCTTTGAGGAGAGATGTGCATGGTTGCTGATGGCAGCTCTCTTTGGTTGTATGTCATAGGCTCTTTATCAGTGATCCAAAGTTGAGAACTCGGTTCACTATCATGATTCGCCTCTTGGTTACGACATCGTCGATACCGCTTCTCTTTTTGGCTTGTCTCTGCCCATAGCAATCTTTGGATACAAATGTTTTCATCTTCATGTTCAGCTCTCGAGCGAGACGTTTGACAATCATTAAAGATCACTTGTTATTTGAGATCATGTTTAAAGCATAGTAAAAACTGTAAAGCGGGTCCTTACTCAAAACCTTTCAATGAAGCATGGGCTCGTTTTGGAACCAGCATGCTCAGCATGGTCGAAGCTACCTTGTGTGAAAGTTTCAGGATCGGACTCGTCAATAGCAATTTTTGCATTTGTCGATCCCACCCAAAAAGTTTCAAGAGGTCGACGTCTTTTCATTTTGGCGGGTGGTGACATGGCCAAATTTGAGGTTGTCGAGTTCGATCCTGAACCTTTCACACAAGGTAGTTTCGACCATGCTGAGCACGGTGGTTGCAAAAAGAGCCCATGCTTCATTGTGACATTTTGTGTGATGGTTGTCTTTATGCTGTAAAGATGATGCTATATGACAAAGTCGCCTTTTTCAATTGTCACCCATATAACCACTTATAGTGCAATACCTGGGGAATGGCGTGTTTGGGTAAGAAAGCAAAGAAAACGTGATTAAAAGAGCAATGGATGATATGTATACGCTATGTCACTGTCATTCATACATTGCATGCTATTAGCCAATTCCACCCAATCAAGACCATCATGGATTTGATAACGTATGAAACATGCACCTGCTCCAAAGATTCATTTCCATCATTCAGGTGTCTTGATCCGAGCCAATTTGAGGAAATTATGGCCAAGTAACGGGTACGTCGCATCCAACATGCAACGCATACGGGTGTATCCACAAGAGAAAACCTGGTCTAAGCGTAGCTCATCCAAATCAGCTCGGATCAATGTAATTAAACCATGGATCTGAACCTTGGAGCAGGCGCATTCACCACACGTTGTCAAATCCACAATGGGCTCAATTGGGTGGAATTGGCTTATAGCTCGCAGTATATGAATGGCCGTGATACAGTGTACCCATATCATCCATTGCTCTTTTAATTCTTTTTTCTTTGCTTTCGTATACAAACATCGCCTTTAGCACCTATCTCACTATAAATGTACATATGAGTCACAATTGAAAAAGACCCACCTTTATAATAGCAAAACATACACGCACCTGTAACTCAAAATATCACAATGCTACATGAGCTCTTTTTGGAACCAGCATGCTCAGCATGGTCGAAAGTACCTTGTGTGAAAGGTTCAGGATCAAACTCGTCAATAGCAATTTTTCCATTTGTCGATCCCACCCAAATCGTTTCAAGAGGTCGACGTCTTTTCATTTTGGCGGGTGGTGACATGGCCAAATTTGAGGTTGTCGAGTTCGATCCTGAACCTTTCACACAAGGTAGTTTCGACCATGCTGAGCACGGTGGTTGCAAAAAGAGCTCATGTAGCATTGTGATATTTTGTGTGATGGTTGTCTTTATGCTGTAAAGATGATGCTATATGACAAATTCGCCTTTTTCAATTGTCACCCATATAACCACTTATAGTGCAATAGCTGCACGAGGCCGTGTTTAGGTAAGAAAGCAAAGAAAACAGGATTAAAAGAGCAATGGATGATATATATACGTTATCTCACAGTCATTCATACATTGCTAGCTATGAGCCAATTCCACCCAATCAAGACCATCATGGACTTGATAACGTATGAAAAACGCACTTGCTCCAATGATTCACTTTGGGTGTTTCATTAGATCGATCCGAGCCGATTTGAGGAAATTACAGCCACGTAAAGGGCACATCGCTTCCAACATGCAATGTATACGGGTGTATGGAGTAGAGCAAACCTGGTCGAAGCGTAGCTCATCCAAATCGGCTCGGATCAATATAATTAAACCATGTAGCGGAACCTTGGAGCAGGCACATTCACCACATGTTGTCAAACCCACAATCGGCTCAATTGGGTAGAATTGGTTAATAGCATCCAATCAATGAAGGACCATCAGACACTGAACCCATATCATCCATTGCTCTTCTAATCCTTTTTGCTTGGCGTTCGTATACAAACACCATCAATCGCGCCTATCTCACTATAAATGTACATATGGGTCACAATGGAAAAAGGCCCACCTTTATAATAACAAAACATACACGCACCTGTAACTCGAAAGCTTTCAATGAAGCATGGGCTCGTTTTCCAAACCGCATGCTCAGCATGGTCGAAAGTACCTTGTGTGATAGTATCAAGCTCGAACTCGTCAATAGCAATTTTTGCATTTGTCGATCCCACCCAAAAAGTTTCAAGAGGGCGACCTCTTTTCGTTTGGCGCGTGGTGACATGGCCAAATTTGAGATTGACGGGTTCGATCCTGAAACTGGCACACAAGGTTGCTTGAGCTGGGCTGAGCGCGGTGATTCCAAAAAAGAGCCCATGCTTCATTGTGGCATTTTGAGTTATGGCTGTCATTATGCTGTAGACATGATGCCATATGAAAACGTGTCTTTGTTCATTCCTAGTCGCGTCAATCATACTGTAACAGAGCGGAAGCTGCAGCTGGATCTTTCAGTATTACAAAGACAAGCGGATGCGATCGTGATCGACAACGATGACGAGCCTATATCACTTGCAATTGAAGTACCAACGATAACAACCCTACGGTGAAACAAGATTGAACACACACAACAAAATTACTACCGCGTTTGCCTTTTATTGATACAGTTCGGTATGTCCTATATCATCGTACATGCTTTGGGCTTTGATTAATGGGTGTACAGCTAGAGCTATTGTATGTTTCATCGAGGGTATAGTCCATGGATGTCTAAAGGACGTGATCCTTGCAATTTGGTGAACCATGTTTTTTGTACCTTATTGCTTTGTAGGCATCATTAATCATACATGTTATTCAGCTGCTCACGGACAATAAAACATACCATAGCACAAAGGAACAGATGTGCATTTAACAAATGTTTGTTTTCATCTCCATGTACATGAACGGGCTATGACTATGAAAGCGGGATCGTGCATAATACCATTGTAGCCGATTTTACCAGCATGTGACCATCAAAGGGTTGCGTAAAAAGATGTCATCCATTCATTAATCTTCCCAGGCTGATCATAAAGCGATTGCTTGTGCCAAAGCAATGATCCTGTTCTCGACTACAAAACAATCGGAGGAAGGCGTCCCTGCAATACAAAACAATATCATTGGCGTTAGTGCATCGTAACACAGGATCCATCATGCTCACATGTGGAAGGGATTCCTCGTGATTGAGGCATTTGGTGATGTGGATGATGAATCAATTGAAAGAGATAAGGTATCTATCTACATGTAATGGAGGGAAAAGTGGACTGTGCTTTCCAATCACTACATAAATGGAGATTGTGGTATTGTATTCATGACATGATCAAGCACGCACGGTGAACTGTATTGGAAGAAGTGATATTTAAGGGATCCCTTAATGTCTCACAAGCCAAACCACGTCGCACCCCAAAACATAAAAATGTATCAGCTAAATCCTCCGCGTCATCAGCGGTTCCTTTATTTCCCTTCACTCCAACAACGACACCTTGCTACATACACTTGACCACTCTCACTTTTATTCCTTGTCGACATTCCTCGTCCAGCATTTTGTCATCAGAATTGGTTGTCAGCAAACAATCGTCTCCTGGTTACTCGTCATCTCCACGGCAACGGCTCTTGTTTGGTTTTCCTTGTGCTTGTTTTAGCTTTTTCTTTTTCTCCCAACACTACACAGCTTGCACGTTTGACAATGACACCTCCACTGAAAGCGATTGTAAACATCAGCCACCCCCATTGCGCTTGGTCACAATGTTGGGGTAGATCGCAGTCGTCTTGGTAAGTCCAAAACGTTTCCAAAAGGTATCAATGGCTGATGAAAGTGCTTCCAACAATCGATAGCTTCGTACAGGCTTAGCGTGGCATGGTTACTGGTATTGGTAATTACATGGAATGGGAGAGAACGTTGACAGGATTGGAACTGGGGCTTTTGTTTTAAGGCGCCAACCATCATCATCCTCAAAAGGCACACTTTGAAACATCAAAGCAACTTCATGTAAGTATATGCTTGAGACCTATGTTAACGAATCAGGAATGGGAGCTACTCACAACCTCTCCAGTGGCAAAGCTTGGTGTGATCTTCGTTTGGCTTATGCTGTACTCGATCGTGATGCTTCTTGGATGAAGCGGTTACGTTGCAAGGATTGCTGGTTTTGGAAATCTGGTTATCAATGTGGATGAGCGCTTAGGATTTGTTGCAGCTGATTACCTATGTTTGGATGAAGGATCTTTGGGAATACTGGTAAAAGGTGAAGAAGGTGTTGTACGATTTATCCACGCGCTCTCAGGACATATGCAGGTTGGACGAATTCAGGATGGACATGGGGAGGGATCTTATAGCTGTGACCCTAGAGGAAAATGGGCATTTTCATTTCGCTAGCGATACTATGGTAGTTTTTCGTTTCTAACATAAAAATGGTCAGCGTGAAAATCATAAAGGGTATAAAATGGTTACTGGTTCTGATTGATAGTGGACGTGGCGTCAACCTGAAGTATAAGCGGTTATGGTTTCTCGTTCTCTAAAAAGACTATCTTCGTTGTCCCCATCTCATTTTTGTCACGATTGACGTTGCAATCCAACATCCACCTCAAGTAGGGTCATCCATTGCCCCCAATGCTTATCGTTCGATTCAAATGCACTTCAACCTGCAAATGTATACTACCATTGGCCTGTTTCTTTTTGTACGTGTGCTGTATAGGTAATAGGTATTTCCTTTACTTGCTGATGGTATACCCAAAAGCAAGCAACAGCGGATTTCGCCGTATTTGTGGCATGATCAAGGAATCGTATATACATGTCGGGATGTTATTAGGAATGCGTGAGCACGTTTTTGATAGACTAGCTATGTATTTCAGCAAAGAATGATTTTATTGTATGAGCAAGAGCAGAGCGTAATTGAGATGATAAAAGCTAATAGGGTACATGAAAGCATGGGTGCCTACCAAGCATGAAAGGTGTTTGAGTGGATGATTATTGGTGGGCACTTTGGGTTGTAAATACTAGACATGGAATTTCACTTTTCAATTGAGCAATTGTTTTCAAATCGAATGTCTTCAGCTTTAGCTGTAGTAAATCAAGGTGCCGAAATTCCTTTAGAACTGGAAGCATGCCCTCGGCCATCATATTGCAGACTATGACCAGAGACTTGAGACGCGGATGCTGGGATAAAGGTTGAATCCACTCACCGGGAGGCGAGAAAGAAAAGAAAGTCAATGTAACATTTTCGAGGGATGTGCACCCAAGCGAAAGACGTGCTAGAAGGTTAACCAAGCTACTTGTATCACCGCCATATTGAAGGCATATCTCCAATGACGTGAGCTGCTGTAAGTCTGCAATCAAATGTAGCCAATCACGACTACCCATAAATGCTGTGTCGATAGTGCACTTGATATCTTGGAGTGACGAGTGTACTCCAAGCGTGACATGATGATGAACAAATTCATATTGACCCATATCCCGAGAGGATGCCGAAAGCTCCAAATTGATTCTTTTGACAGGTCGATCGATCAAGGCATGCAGCGTCCTCCCTTTTACACTTCCATAGATAGCCTCAACAAACTCAATATGAGGTGCGTGTAATACAATCCAATCAATAAGATGCATCGCGTGTTGTCCCAAATGACTGAGTTATCGCAAGGAACGCAATCGATCAAGTACAACAGGCTCATGGAGGAGGGAACTGATATACGATATAGAAGACGCAGAGAGCAACACCTCCACCGATTCCAATCTGGTCGCATGCTCCTTTAGAAAGCGTGCAATGCAATCTCCATGAAACAATGATGATTGGATGAACAGCAATCGAATGCCTCTTGAATCTCCTTGCTGAAGTAAAGCATTCTCTGTGTGTGGTGTACCATTCCTATTCCCTAGCAATAGCCGCTGTAGCTGTGGGCATAGCTGAGAAACCTTACTCAAGTCTTCATAGCTGATCATAGGAGTTGTCAAGCGTAGTACATCCAAACATGTGAAATGCTGAATGATACGTGGAACAATAGCCGAATTTGCAGCTTCATACGAAGCATGAAGGTGTCGTAAGGCGGGGTATCCATGATTGTGGTACATGTTGAAAGTGACACTGCTGCCATTATCCAATGTAATATCCAATTGAACAAGCTTGGGACAGTACTGCAACATCTCGAATACTTGGAGGGAGCTCCCCATCATTTTGGATATGATACGCAAGCATTTCAGAGCGGGGATTGATTGAAGCAGCCTCATCCAATGTCCTTGAGAACCTTTTACTGGATGATGAGGTATGAGCAAGTGCTTAGTTGTGTGCGTCACCACCACCACCCTTACCTGTCATTGTCAAATCGTTCAAGGACGAAAGATGTGCATACTGCAGAAGATTGAAAATGGCTTGTTGATTGGACGCTGTTACAGTGAGCGTTTTTATATAGCCTGCCACGGCTTGTACACGCATCCAATCGTCCTTTGTGAAATCCTTGTTACTGCTGATGTAGAAATGAATGCTTTCGTCACTTGCAGCGATTCTTTGGCTCCATGTCGTACACACTGCAAAGTAGGTGTGGCGATTGCGAAGACTCAAGGCTCTATCCTTTTGGTGTATGATCCTGGGAACAATGTTTTCCATCACGATTTCAAACGGCAGCTCGCTGATGAAATCAACTCGTTTGGTGGAGACCACAGCTGATGCGGCAGCACGTGTGGAAGTGTTCATAAGGCGTCCGTAAGACATAAAGAAAATCCTTGCAGAGGGTAATGAGAAAAATGCGGAAAAAGAAGCAGGTTGAGGCTTGGGATTGATTCCGGCGATGTTTGTGTAAATCCTTACGATGCATGATCCGCTCATTCATGTAAACCCCGCGATGCCATAGATGCTCTATCACGCTGGCGATGGTATCATGGTACTTTTTTGTAACTACTCCTCCCATGATTGATGGACATGCCTGTCTTTAAGTTCTATAAACTTGTTTTTGTATTTGCAGAATGCACTACTATAGATACATGAATTGGGGGAAACAATGTCCGTTCAAGCTTTCTTTTTTCTATCCCCATGTCCTTTTTCGTGTTTATTGGATGGCGCATCTTCTATACACACAAACAATGGCATAGTCGCTAAACACTCTTTATGATTTCCCTATTGCTACAGCCAACCGTATACCATGAAGCAGGTTTGTGCATTGAGTAAACGTCAAGATTGGGTTTCATCATACACCAGTGTGTCATCGTAGCCCATGCATAGTGATAGAAACAATGGTTTATTATACACAGCATATGTACAATAAGAAAGTTCACAAATAAAGGCTGCGTAATGCATTATTACAAAGGATCATCAAAACGAGTGAATGTTTGGCAGAGAATAATTTTCAAGTCATGACGTTGTTCCTGAAGATGCCGGATCGCTTCCATTTTGGCTCCACGTGCTGGGTAGATCCGAATACATTTGAGTTGTGAAATGCCTTGAATTGCCTGTCAGAAGCCAGGACGTCCTTATATCACCCCTAGTTAGTGGCGACTTAGAAAATTTCTCCGATTATGCAGCCCCCACTTGAAAATCGACTAAGTCAGCACGCACGCTCCAAATCCAACAGCTTGTTTTTCTTCACAGCCCTCTTTATTCTTCTTGTACAACTACTCGGTTCACGCCTTCCACCACTTGTATACCTTCCTGTCACACTTCAGCCTTCTCCATTGTCACCATTGGCTCCATCTGGAACTCTCCATCTATAAGCATCGCGTGTCCTTGGCTGCTTTCTTGTCACCACACGTCCTTCTCAAACGACACCTTTTTCAACACTCGACACAACCCACGAGTCATACGCTTCTTCACCACTATTGCAATGCACTTTACAAACACATCCTCGTCAACCTCATTCGCTCCATCTTGTTCGCCATCCGCAAACGCCTTGGCACCAGAGCCCCACGCAGCATACCAGCTTGCGTCAAGGCCATACCCGAAGTCGAGGCAATAAAAGGTTTCTTTGCAAGGTTGGTATCATGTTACATGGGGAAGTCGTTATTGGAGACATTATTGGATTGGTATGTGTTGGATGACAGGGTGTAGCTTTGCACAAAGGTACTGTATTGGGGATAGGATGATGGAGATGATTCCATTGAAGATGATGTTGCGTGGTGGTCACGTCTTCTTTTCAACTCGTGTTTTTTATCATCTAGCGCTGGAGACTGCTACGTGACGCTATGGCTATATACAAGAACATGCTTGGGATCGTCTCCAGCCAATTTAGGATACATGACAGGATTAGAATAATGTATGAATGAATAAAGGGCTTGTTAAAGTAAGCATGAAAGTACGCTACGTTCAGAAATGGTTTTCGTGGTACAAAGGAATCATTTTCAACCATTGAAGGACCATCATAAAGCATGAACCTATATATAAGGTCAAACAGAGGATGTTCCACGGCATTAAGCATACCTCGTTTAATGATGCTACGCAACGGGAATCATGCTTGAAGTAGTCCAAGTTGGAGGCTACTTGGTTTAAATAAGTCAACTTGGAGTACTCCTACTTGACAAAGTTAAACCAGGAGTACTCTTGGTTGAAAAAATTTTACCAGGAGTACTCCTACTTGGCAAAGTTAAACAAGGAGTACTCCTGGTTGACAAAATTAAACCAGGAGTACTCCTACTTGACAAAATTAAACCAGGAGTACTCTTGGTTGATATAATTCAACCAGGAGTACTCCATGTTGGCAACATTCAACCAAGTATCCTCCAGTTTTTCTATCATTGAATGACGTATACTTAATCCCGTTGCTCATTCTCTGTTTAAAATCTCGAAGCACATAACTTATTATTGGGTTTATTGTAATGAAATGGATCCTTGGTACAACGAAAACCATTTATGAACGCAGCGTACTTTCATGCTTACTTTAACAAAAGCCATTTTATTCACTCATACACCATTCTAATCCTATCATGTACCCTAAATTGGCTGGAGCCCATCCCATCCATGTCCTTGTATATAGTCATAGCGCCACAGAGCTTCAGGGCTAGATGATAAAGAAGAGCAATAGAAAACAAAACGCGATCACCACGCAACCCCATGATACCATCATCCTATTATCCCACATACATTACCTTTGTGCATACCTCCTTCCAGTGATCCAGCACCTACCAGCCCAATAACGCCTGGAATAAAGACTTCCACAAGTAGCATAATATCAGCCCTGCAAAGAAAACTTCTATGACGTCGATTTGATTGATGGCCTAAACGGAAGCTGGTACACTGTGTGGGTTCTGGTGACAAGGCGTCGGCGAACAAGATGGAGTGAATGAGGTTGACGAGGATGTGTTTGTAAAGTGCATTGCAATAGTGGTGAAGAAGCGTATGACGCGTGGGTTGTATCGAGTGCTGTAAACAGTGTTGTTTGAGAAGGACGTGTGGTGACAAGAAAGCAGCCAAGGACACGCGATGCTTATAGATGGAGAGTTCCAGATGGAGCCAATGGTGACAATGGAGAAGGCTGAAGTGTGACAGGAAGGTATACAAGTGGTGGAAGGCGTGAACCGAGTAGTTGTACAAGAAGAATAAAGAGGGCTGTGAAGAAAAACAAGCTGTTGGATTTGGAGCGTGCGTGCTGACTTAGTCGATTTTCAAGTGGGGGCTGCATAATCGGAGATTTCTCTAAGTCGCCACTAACTAGGGGTGATATAAGGACGTCCTCAGAAGCCATCATCGCCATCCATGCCCTTGATTGAGAAGGCTAATCGCTCCAAATATTTAAGCTGTTTCAAAGCGTTCATTGAATGTGTCGATGGTGCGTTGAAGCATTTGATCTCGAGACATGCCAACTTTGGACATCCTTTGACAAGCCCATCAATAAACCTTTGCATTTGATGATGATCCCATTGTGCTGTAAAGCTAATCATCAGGCGTTGAAGCTGATCAAGACCATGGATGGCATTGAGAACACTGGTGATGTTTATCAAGCTGGCGAAATGAATAACAAGCTCCTTCAACTGACAGTGTCGTGGAAATCGCTGAAGGTATCGTTCGAGGGATGCTGTGTGTCGAGGGCCAAAATGATCATCAAGGTGTAACTCGAGCGTCTTCAACTTGGGTGGTATTGTATCAAGTACAGCCATGTGTTCCCTTATCGTATTTGCTGTCATCTTCAACTCCTCCAGGATAGGCGCATTGCGTGGGATCCATCCTCCTAGGACCGAAAGATCAAGTTTCTTCAGCCATCTGTACTCGATAGTGTAGATGTCTTGGAGATGGTCGTCATTCTCTTGCTCTCCAACGTAATTGAACACGGTGAATTTAAAGCGTCCAAGAGTATTTTGGTGCTGCCTTAATGCACGAGCAAAGGCATCATAAAGAAAAAATCCGTCACGGCCCGTCTGGATATAAAGGTCCGTAATCCCGATCTCATCGCATGGCCTTTCTTGTTCCAAATAAACGCATTCAACACCAGGACCTTCTAGAAGCTCAAGACGGTTCATCTAGGGGAGGTGATCCAATACAATGTGTGTCATCTGCGTCTCTTCGGAAGGACAAATTGAAAGCTTCTTGAGTGATGGAAAATGTCTGCAAATTGCTGTTATGTGGTCACGCGTAAATAGCTCTCCTCCATTGCACGTGATAGATAAAGTTGTCAATTTTGGCCAGGTCATCATTTGTAGCGAGATGAAATCCGGAAGATCTTGCTGGAATACGTCGAATGAAACCAAGTTTGGGCAAGATTGCATGATATCAGCAATTGACACTATGCTAGCACCGTCGAGCAGGGCGTCAAAGTGTGTCAAAGTCCGGCCGATCGACTTCAACGATGAAACCAACTGATGAATGCCATGGGGTGTGCTCGCTTACGGAAACAATGGTAAATAAGAGCTCGTTAAATAAAGGATGGATACAATTACTTACATTCAATCGATAACTCCCGTAGCGAACAAAAGTCATTATTGCGTAGCAAATCACAAATCCATACCTCGTTGGCAACCTGGCCCACATACAATTTCTTGATACACCGGGAAAGCCCAACCACATGTGACAGACTGTGGCCTTCGGTATCTCCAACATCGAAACGTAACCCATTGAAGCACTGAACAATACGATCACGCCATACATTGGACACATACAAGTAGGGGCTTGGCGTGGTTGAGCTCATAATAAAATCGTCCATCAACATGGGAACGAGAGTTGTAATAACAATGTCGGTAGGTAGTTGTTTGATAAAGTCAATACGTGTGCTTTGGCGTTGCTCAGCATCCTCTTTGACTTGTTGCAGTGTTGCATAGTGCTTATCATTGGTGTCGACTTTACTCAGCCCCTTGTTGCAGATATTAATGATATGACATTGCTTGCCTTGTTCACCGTACACGTCGGCCTCCCGTAAGTAACCAAGTGCTGAAGAAGGTGAGAGTTGCTGTATGAGGTTGGCATCGTGGAGAGCTGATTCAAAGTTGGCACTCTTTGTGAATGCCATGGCGCGTCGATCCAAAGCTGTCAAGATGGATTCGTAGGATTGAAGCAGCTGTGTCGTTGAATCGTGAACAAGATGTGCATATTTTTCAGAAGAGGTTTTCAGCGTGGGCTGTTTGCATAAATCGTTTCAAATTGAGTGTGCCATGGTTGGTTGGCTGGGAAACAAGAAGGGACGCGACTGACTCCGTGTCATCCCAAACATAGTTTATTGGCCAACCGCGTCCAGTGATACAAAGAGGCTGCTTTATTTCCCTCCATTCCAACAATGACTTCTTTCTATACTTGAACTCACCCTCTAAAGCTTTACTTTTACACCTTGGTGACATTCCTCGTTCGCCATCTGTCAACACAATTGGCAGCAGCCAGCATTCGTTCCCTTGGTTACGCGTCATCTTCACAACAGCTGCTGGTGACCCACTGCTTGCTTGTTCTCGTTTCAGCTTTTCCTTTGCACAGCCTTGAACAACTTCTACTTCGACAAATGGCACCTCCAGTGAAAAACAATCGTCAACGAAACCCATTGCCTCAGCTTCCTTGAGATCGTGGTATTCAGCTTGTTCATCTACTCTACTCCAAAGGTTTCCAACAACGCCCTTGAATATGAGCACACTGCCACCAAACTGGTACTTGCCCACAACCATGGGTAGATCTATTTTGTCTTGGTAATAACATTGGTACGTGGTATACCGTGGGAGATAAGGCTGGCAGGTCTAATGCACGAGGCATCGTTTCTACGCTGCTAATCACCACTATCATCTTGATCAGGTACTTGTCAATGCACCACCCTCCATGCACGCTGCTGCTATTGGTTCATGATGCATGTTTCTTCAACGATGTCGACAAACATGATGGCGTTTTGGATCAAGCAAGTCTTAGGATCCAGTCTTCGTTTTCATCATCCCTTGGTTTCCAGTTGATTCTGTTACAATGATGCCGTTGGATGATGACATGATGTACGAGATGCTCACTTACCCCATGGATGGTTGAGGATGCTCTTGGTTAAGAGGTAGGTTTGGATGACGGACGTTTTGGATAACAAGTTCGGGCCTGATGGTGGTGTTGTATCACGCAATACGGACGTTCACGCTGATCGACAATGTAAGCATGGCTATGGTAAGAGGATCAAACTGCGGCTGTATATTGTGGTTCGTTAGCAGTATTAGGGTGTTCTTTTGGGTTATACAATAAAAAGGATACGTATATAATTGTAAGCATGATAACAGGATTGAAATGCTTGTTCGTGATGAAAGGATGGTTTAAAAATGGGGACAGTAGACAATCGGCATCTTCAACACGCACACATACACACGCCATTTCCCCCTTTTTCTTTTATTCGATACTGCAAGTTGTCCTGTGACCACCACTCCTTCCGAAGAACCCCGTAACGCAATGATAAACGAATCTACCCTTTTATTACCTCACCCATCACATAACACACGTCTACACCCTACATGTGGTGCTCGCTATCATGATATTGAGATAGCATCTAATGGTACGCAATCCGTTACTTATACCACATACCTTGCTAGACAATCAACTTTACCATTTATTTTCAAGACTATGCGACCTCTAACTGTTTTACTTTCTGAGTGATGGATCATCATCTTGGGTTACACAGCATGCAAGCGTTACACAGTATCCAAGAAGACGATGATTCCACTATTTTCACTTTTAGGATTACTTTTCAGCTGCCTTACCCAGTTGTATTATAAAGTATCCTCCATCATCCTTCAACGAGAAAAGTAAACAAGCACCATTGTACAAGCCATTCATGGAATTTAGTTACACACGCTGATCGAGCCTCATATTTGAAATGTGGGATGGCTATTAATCACAACGTCGTTTCAGAGTTAGTGACAGATCTGAAAAGTCAACATGGTGTTGCCTTGATGGTGGCCCTTAGAATAGAAATAAGCAACAACAATGATGGGCTTTATAATGCTTGCACTAATACAACATCGTATTACACACAAATCGCCTTGCTTGTATGAGCAAATATAACGATAAGCATTACTTTTATAAGTGAGTTTTGGATTACAGAGGAGGTTGACTAGTAGGGTGATAAGAAGACACTCATTCATGCATATGATGGGTTGGGGTAGGGCGATCGGGTCAACCAAAGCCTGTGTAACACCGTCACGCGCATGGCAACAAGCAAGCGGGAGGAGGAGTGTCTTGAATTTACGACTTGCTCCTTTACACCACGACGGCATGTTCGAGACCGACATTGACATTCTGTGTCCTTCTCAATCTTCTTTTACCACCAATGACAACTCTTCCATTGACGACGCGATCAATGTTCAGACACACCTTGCGCAACATCACCAGCAAAAGCTTTTGTTGGCTCTTAATGTGAGAGCATCGCTACTCGTGAATGCCGAACGACTCGATCTAGCAAGGAACGACGCCATCGCTATGATGAATCTAGCACCTTCTTCACCCTTGGGTTATCTTTGTGCTGGTGGTATCCATTCAATTCGCTTGAATTACGCGTCAGCAATCAAAACTTTTGATGATGGATTTGAAACGCGTACCACGCTCGCACCCACAATATCATCGCCTTCTCTGCGCACGAGCCACAGCATATGAAAAAAGCGACACACGTATTGATTTCATCAGCAAGTTGCCATTGGATATCGTGACGCATCATATTATACCAAGGCTATTGCAAGGTCGAGTCTTGTTTGAGATTGAATCCCCCTGGGATGATTATTTTGATGTATCTCGTACATGGCGACAACGTATAGCGTTAGTGAGTGGATTGCATTACGAGATTGGACCGGCAGCTTTATCAGCCGAACGATTTGAGCGCGTACAGGATCTGGCACCTTTTATGAGATCATTGGCAGTCATACAGCCTTCGAAAGAGATCTTATCCAAAATCACCGAACGGCGTCTTCGTAGATTCAACGTATTGAATAAACTGCGTGTTGTTGGTAGGTAATATGGGGATATGGGATGCATCTCATTTGCTAACATGCATCCTTTAGAATCCATCTCACGAGGACCTACGTTGCTGCTTTCGTCTCTACGTTCATTGAGCAACACATTGACAGAGCTTGATCTTGAATATGGACGCTATTTACCAGCCAAGAAGCCTTATCGATTATGCGACGTTTTGAATGCATGCCCCAATCTTCTATCCATTCGAATGTCGTGTGGAGACATTGACATGTCATCGGCCACCAAGACCTATCCCAAGATCACCAAGTTGGAATTGTGGAATCGTGATTCCGAAGTGACCAAAGACATCACGCTCTCTCTTTTTGGACCCTTTCCCAATCTACATTACTTGAAATTGTATCCTCCATTGGGGTCTTGTATGCTTCCAATAATTGATCAGCATTGTCCATTATTACAGCAGCTCATCTTGACGGGACGCACACCCGCTTTTTACGATGTTGATGACATGCCAGAGGGAAATACAGGTCTACGTCTTCTCAGTGTTCCCACCAATGACTTTGATGATGGCTTCAAGGAGGACGAGATGGTGCAATATTTGATGAAACACAGCGAGACATTGGAGGCCTTTGGTATCGTAGCGTCAAGTGGATTTAGTGAACCAAGCACATTACTACAAGATCCGGCAAGTCAAAAAGTGACATTCAAACGATTACGGCAAATCAACTATTTGGATGATTCTCAGGAGAGCTTGGTTTCATTTCTTTTGTGGATGATACAACATGCACCTTGTCTGGAATCGGTGGAGACAGTTGCTGGCCTACGACAAGCACCCATTATGGAAGCATTGACTCAACCTGATCACCAGCATATCAAACGACTTGGTATGAAAGTCAGCGATTTTCCAGTGGATGAGGAAGATGAATTGATTCAGCATCATGTGGACCTTGGGCAGCAATCGAATCTGAAAGAATTGAAAATTGATATCCCAAGCCAATTTGACTATGAAGACTCTTGGATTTCGCTTGTTCCTCGATTAACGCAGCTGACCACCATTGAATTTTGCACCTCACACATGAATGCATATGGTTGTTTGGGGTCGTTCATGGAACAGTTAGCTAATGGATGTCCTGCCTTGGAAAAGCTCATCATGTCAGACGAATCACTACTTATGACTTTCAGCGATCTTTACCCCATGCATCGTCATCGCAATCTCAAGCATATCGTTATCGATTGTGAAGGCATGTACGGTGGGTCCACGTTTCAACAATTTTTCACCAATATCGAATCATTACACATCAGTGCTCTTAGGTATAGCTTGGAGGACATTGATAGATTACAAAAGGCATCCTTTAAATTTGTGTTTACACAGAAACTATCTGATACTCCTTACTTTGTCAATGATATTGAAGATGGATTTTAATCATAGAATAAATGATTATACCGTTACATCTGGTTACACATACATGGTAAAACGTACTACGTCCGTCATTCATGAAGGATACAAGAAGGCATCCACATCGAAAGCCCGTACTTTCCGGCATCTCTTTTGATTCCAAATCCATCTCGATAGCAGTACATAGATAATAACTTTATGATGAAAACGTGGGTACACGTTATGTTGGATAGAACAACAGCATCTTTTGGGTATTTACTTATACCATTGTCAATATCATTTAAGGATCGAGCATACCACCAGCATTGGTACTACCCATTTCCATGTCATAAATAAGCACACCTTTGAAGGAACCATGTGATGGTGGTTTCTACATGCTATGTGAGGGGTTGTGTGTAAAATGATAACCGGGTCAGTGAAGTGGTAGATTTATTTAGCAACTACGTTCGCTTGAGGGGATACATTATGTGTAAACGTGGATTACTATCCTGAAGCATGGATCTAATTTCTACGTGAATTGGTCTATGGTGAATAATGCGTTCGAGGTGACGGCAACGTTGTAGACTTAAAACACCGGCGTCAGCGTCCTGAAGATCTCCTGTCATGGTAAGGCTCTCAAGATTGGATAAACCGCTAACTTGGTAGAGAATGGGGTTGGGTATGGCACCATTGATGTTGATAGACAGCTTCGTGAGCCCTTGGCATCCTTGGCGTAATGACGTAAATAGTTGTGTAAATGGCTCTGATTCAAGATCCGTAGCGGTTAAATAGAAAGAACGCAAATGTTTCAGTTCTCGTATGGCGTTGATTAACATGGGCTGTGCTTCATAGAGCTTTACGTTGATAGACTCCAAATGTGATCCTTCTCTATCAAATGCATGATTCACATGGTCTCTCAGGAATCCGGCCACAAGTGTATCATAACCGGCAGGTCGTTGGTTGTCGTGAACTTCGAAATCCACATGGCGTAGGTGCATACGTTTTGCCAAGGCTTCCAAAGAGGATCGATTCATTGTGTAGCCCTTTAATGCCACCGTGTGCAAGCAAGGAGCACGCTCAATGACCCAGCTGATGAACGTGGAAAACGCTCGTAGCGTATCCATTTCAGATGCGGTGAAGCTGGTATACGCATGTAATGTTTTCAGTTGCGTGAATTGAATATGGCTCTCTTTGTTCATGGCATTCAACATCTTTTTTGTGTCGTTTGTGCTCAATAAGGTGTTGAATTCCAGGAATTGCAATGTCGCATGATGATGAATAATGGTGGGTACAATATCATCGAGTGGAAAGTGATTCATGGTATGGGTAATGCAAAGAGACGCCAATCCTTGTTGTCCATAAAGCTTCAGGTCCTGGAATCTTTGGTGATCCATGTTGATTCGTTCGCCATATGCCAAATGACGAATGCATGGTAACCAAGTATCATCCACAAACAATGGTCTTGAGCTCTTCGTGATTGCCATATCCAATATCTTCAAACCAGGCAGGTGTTCTCGAATCATCATCATGTGCTCTCGATCCACCGTTCCTCTCACAGCACACAGCTGAAGCTCTTTTAGTTTTGGATAAACCTCCTTGATGGATGCAATGTCGATCGCTGCTTCGCAAAACAATGATTCAAGATTGGGGCAGATTGCCAATATATGTCGTAATTGTGTTGTAGACGCGTTCGTCTGTGGATAGAGGCGCAATCCCTTACATGAAAGTACGAGCTTGGCTAATTGTGTGCCGATACACGATAACGCGGGTATGCTTTGAACAAGGGTATCCGGTGTTGAAGCTATTGTCGTATGGGAAGTATGTTGGGTCTACATGCATGATTCATTTTACACTTTGGATACGTACCATATATTGAAAATGCTGTCAAGTTCGTAAAACGATACTTCTTAAAGAAGGGACCCAATGGTTGTTCGCATAACTGGAGTATCAGCGATGCCGTATAACTGAATGATTGAATCACCATATCATTGCGTTCATCCAAAGGACGATGTGCTTTTATGGTGTATTGAAGCTGATTGGATGCCATGATACGGTGCCACCAAGCCGACGAAACCATGACGTATTTGCGTTGCTGGTGGAATTCCTCATGAACCAGAATATAGTGGATAATACGAGCACTGATCTCCATAGGAAGGTCGCATATGAAATCTCTGCGCTTTTCACATTGTTGCATGGCTTCGGCCTGGTTTGTCTGAATGGTCTCATACAATGGATCACGCTTATCGACATGCTCGAGTGCTCTGTCGTACACATAGGATGCTGCAATGAATCGTCCTTGCTCCATGTGGATGTATCCTTGACATAAATAACCGAGTGCTGATGCTGGATTGATTTGCTGCATTGTTGTTGCCGTCTCCAAGGCTTTGACAAATTGTGCACAAGCGACATACGATCGTGCTCGCAAGTCGAGTAGATGGAGTTGAAGATTCTGTAATTCGTTGCCAATGGCGAAGGTCTCCTGAATGACATGGACATGTTGGCCTTGAGATGCTGAAGCGCGTAGCTTGTCAATAACGGCAGAGTCGATCAAGCGGGTCATGACTGTAAAAGAAAGAAAGGGAAGAGAAATCACACGACTACGCACAGCATGATGCGGCTGAGGATAGGCACATAGCTTGTACAACCTTACATGTAGATCACCTGCTTCAGGTTTACCCCACCTTTTAGCGTAGTATATGGGATATTCACTGCTTCATCCACCGCTATAATAAAACTTGGGTCATCCATAAATACTTGAGTCCATGCAATTTGAATGTGTACACGTATTTTCTTTGCTTCGAATGAGAAAGCGACTTCACCAATCATCATCTCTGTGTAACATCGGATGATGATTAGCTGCACCGCCTCCTTTGAAAGATGTCTGTTACAGCATGCAGGATGCCTCTCGCCAAATGTAATCAGTATCTGAATCCTCCTTGTTGAACGCAATCATGGTGCAACTCGTTGGTGTTGCCTTCTTTATACAAGCTGGTACACATAATCCTTCTACAGCGATTCATCATAAAAATCTATCTTGTTAATATATAGTACGAAAACTGGTAGTTGATAGGGCATCCCTCCCTTTCATCTTTGTTGCCCAATCCAACGCATGTGAACGATGCTCCTGCTCCAGCCCAGCATGCCCATCATTCAACTTTCTTGATCCGAGGGGATTTGACTGAAAAACGCTCAAACAAAGTAATCATCCAACATGAGCATTCTGTTTTTTTATGTAATCCAAGAAGCATTGATATTGGGGCGGCACATGGTGCTAGGTTGTGTATAGAGGTTTTTAGGTGTACCTATTAGATGTTGCATTAGAGTAGCGTGTTTCATCCATTGCCAGAATCATCATGTCTCCCGCAAACACATCCATTTGCCTCATAATCTCCTTCAATCTTTATTGTGAACGACCCAATACTACACCATGCTTCTATCAATATCCCAATGTACATCACGTAGCTACTTATCCATTCCTCCTCCATCCAACATGCGTAGGTTTCCCGATTGCTTGAATAACATGCACCGTACGTGATCCCCCCTTGAACAGGCATATCCATCATCCAAACCTACCAACAACCAGGAGCATTAAAGAGCATGTGTATTGCTTGAGGACGACGAAGACCGGTAAAGCATCACTTCCAACATAATGGCACCATCTAGAAGCGTCGCACCAGAAAACAATGGAGTGTAAGATAAGCGCTTGAAGGGAAATGGTCTTGGATCCCAAAAGGTGTTGTGTCCTATGTAATCCTTCTCTGATGATCTGAGTATTGAAGTATGCATGCCGACCATATGAGACGAGCGTATGTGAAGATGGTGCTTGAAAAGGTAGGCTAACGATGATGATGATGATGATGGGCAGCTTCAAACAGGGTGTTAGGATTCTAGAATTATTATCCCATATCACCTTACACGTACAAATACCTGAATCCATGCGAAATGCATACACGTAAGCTTATGAGAAACCTTCGTTTCCTGGCAACACGTTTATCTGGAAGGGAAGTGTTGGTTGGCTTTTAGACAATGATCATGCTTGACACAAAGTTGTTTAACAAGCGGACGGGATGCTCACGGTTGACGATGGTTTCTGGTGGAGGTGACGCTGGCAACCGTAAAAGAGGTCTGACGTGGGTGAAAAGAGGATGCTGAAACCGGCACAAGCAAGGAATGGGCCACCACAAGTCGTTGTAGGGAATGACGCGTAACCAAGGAGACAATGCTGGCTGAACAGCAATTCTGATGACAAAATGAACGAGCAATGTCGACAAGAAGTAAAAGTAGAGCTTGAGAAAAAGTCGTCAGGTATAAAAGGAGTTGTTGTAGTGGTTACAGTAAAGGGGGATATGGCAGCGGGGGATTTAGCCAATGAATTATATACTTGGGGCTGTGACACACTTGTACGACAATGAGCAAGTCCCTCAATCAAAGAGTGATCGCGTGTAGAAAAACAAAAGCAATAAAAATGGCTCGCTTGAAGCTATGCCAACATCTTTTTATCCACGGCATATTGAGCTGGTATCTTTTACGTGATTTACCATATGCCTTAAACATGTCAAACCACATCGACGTGATTTTTAAAGATGGGTGATCTCGTGGCAAACACAATGTTATCATCGTTTTCATTCTCCTTCATGCCATGTTTGAATCACCAACGTCCTTAATCACATAAAGCATGCGGCATGTTATGAACGATGGATGTTGTGGGCAATGCGTGTATTGCTATCACCATTTTAGTGAAACCCTTGTGTCACCTTTTCTTTATCGCAGTAGTGGGCAAGTCATATGCATACCGTGAGTGATGAGTGTAGTATCAAACAACCAAATGGAATATTTATTCACCACATCCAGCTTTACTTTGCATGAAGCTGCCACCTCTATAAATGCATTCGCCATTTTCCTCCTGAGCGATGAATCATCATCATGCTTCGGTTACAGATACTGAAACATATGGTGATTCAATGCCTTTCGCTTTTATCCTCGCATTATCTACCGTAAAATGAGCCAGGCAGCCCATTGGATCGTATCATAGACGATCATTCGATCTGCAACCCGAGAACCTCATGATACCACCGACGCATGAAACTCACATTAACATCCTGATTGTTGCATGCTTTAAGACGTACGATGTTTTATTAGCCAGAAGAAGCTTATGTATACTGATCCTTCTTAGTAAAATGCATGTGTGCTACAAGCATTGCCATTGATACGGTTGCCAAGCAACGCTTCACAGAGGCATAGGTGATAACAGGAGGCAGCCATCATGTACAACGTGGAGTATTCTATGGTTACACCAAATCGATCTTCGTCTTCAGGTTGCATGATAGCTGTTTCTTTTTACGCGGTAAGACGGGATTGCTATGCTGCACGAGCAGTCTAGGATAAAAAAGCCATAGTTGGCTACTATTCGAGGAACAACGGGCTGAGACCAAGATCCAGACACAGGAAGACAAAAACGATCTTCGTTTCATCGGATGCACGTGACATGCAAAACAATGAAACATACAGGGCATATTCATCTTCCTCCCATTACTATCAATGGCTGGACACCTTTTAGGATTTGAAGATGATAAAGGTAAATCCGATGTTGCCTGTATAAAAGATGAGCAGTGTTTTATGGAAAGTCAACAATAATAATCATCATCATTCGAGTGGTTATAGTCATAGGGGATCATATTCTACTCAAGTCACGTTACATGTATGGGAAACTATATTCCGAAGCGTAGGTTTTATAAGTGAATTATAAATTTCCGAGTGAGTTGACTAGTAGGGGGGCAAAGAAAGGTAGCCATCATGTATAATATGGGATGCGGTGATCGTCAGCCAAAGCGTGTGTAACATCAGGTATTTGCATGCAAGCCTGGGTTGTCTCGGAATTCAGCCGTTGCTCTTTTTACCCACCACGACACCATGATCGAGACCAACATTGACATTCTGTGCCCTGCCCATTCTGCTGTTGCCATTGGCAACCCTCTCATTGACGACAACATTAAGCTTGAGACAAGACATGTACAAGATTATATGCGAAGGTTGTTGTTGGCGCTCAATGTCAGAGCATCGCTACTTGTCAATGCCGAACGACTCGAACTTGCCCTTGACGATGCAATCGCTATGATGACTCTAGTACCCACTTCACCCTTGGGCTATCTCTGTGCTGGTGGTATTCATTCGCGTCGAGGACACCACGCATCAGCAATCGAGACTCTTAATGATGGATTGAAACGAGTGCCACCCTCTGATCCACAGTATGCACACCTTCTCAATGCACGAGCAGTAGCGTACAACAAGAGCATCAAACGTATTGATTTTATCAGCAAGCTACCATTGGATGTGGTGACACACAACATTATACCAAGGATACTACAAGGTCGATCCATGTTTCATATCGGGAGGCCATGCGGCTATTTTGATGTATCTCGTACGTGGCGAAAACGAATGGCGTTGGCAAGCGGATTGCAATATGAGATTGGACCAGAAGATTTATTCGAGGATGGATATGATCGCGTAAAAGACCTTGCACCTTTTATGAGATCGCTCTCAGTCATAGAGCCCTACAAAGAGATCTTGTCCAAAATCACCAAGCGGCATCGTATCGAATTGAGCATGTTGAAGAAATTGAAGATTATTGGTAAGTAGTGGGAGGATACAAAGTTAATATACATGCCATGCTAACATTTATCATTTAGAATCTATTGGAAGGGGTCCTTCTCTTTTGCTGTCATCTCTACGACCATTAAGCGACACATTGACTGATCTCGTGATTGAATATGGACATTATAAAGATCCCAAAAAGCGTTATCGGCTATGCGACATTCTTGATGCATGCCCTAATCTTGCGTCAATACGAATGAATAATGGAGACATTGACATGTCAGCTGTCACCAAGACGTACCCCAAGCTCATCAAGTTGGAATTGTGGAATACGGACAGCGAAGTGAAGCGAGAAAACATCCCATCTCTTTTGCAAGCATTTTCTCAGTTACGTTTTTTGAAGCTGTACCCTGCATTTGGATCTGATATCTTTTCGGCCGTTGATCAGCATTGTCCATTATTACAGCAGCTCATATTGACCGGTCCATATCAGCATTTTTTTGACACTTTGGATACAACCGCGAGAACAGGTCTACGTGCTCTTAGTATTCCCGCGACCCAAAGTGCCGACGACTTTAAGGAGGATAAGGTGGTGCAATACTTGATGAAACACAGTGAGACCTTGGAGGCATTTGATGTCACAGCAAAACGTGGATTTGCTGAACCAAAGAGGTTATCCCAACATGCGGCAAGTCAACAAGTAACATTCCAACGATTGCGGCAACTTGAGTATCCGACCGATGCTGAAGACGACCTTGTTTGATTTCTATTGTGGATAATACGACATGCACCTTATCTTGAATCTGTGGAGACTGTTGCTGGTCCTCATCAAACACGCATTATGCAAGAATTGATTCGCCCAAAGCACTCCAATCTGAAACGCCTTGGTATGCAACACCGCTTTCAATAGTGGAGGATGAGGAGCGATTGATACAACATCATCTGGATCTTGGACAGCGATCAAGTTTGACAGAGATGAAGATTCGTATCCCAGAGAATTTTAGCTACGACTCATGGTTGGCGGTCATCCCTCATTTATCGCAGCTAACGACATTGGAAGTTAACGCTGAAGGATGTTATCAAGGGTTTTCTGAACGCATCTATCCTCTCATGGAAATGCTTGCTGATGGATGCCCTGCCCTGGAACAGCTCACAATGATACGCGGATGGCCAATGCATTTAAGTGACCTTTATCCCATGGATTGTCATAGGAATCTCAAACGTATCGTAATCGATTGCTCAGAGTTGCGTGGTGATGCATCAACATTTTGCCAGCGTTTTACGAATATCGAATCATTGCACCTCCGCGTTGGTGGATATAGATTGAAAGACATTGATAGTTTAGATTGAAAGACATTGATAGTTTAGAAAAGGGTCCCTTTAAATTTGTGTTGACTGGGAAGCCCAATCGTGTATTTTACTACAAATAAAGGCTCTCCAAGGTACGTTTATATCATATAATGAAACTACCAGAATGAATCGCGTAATATTTTGAGATAATCCTTGCTTGTACATGCATGATAAACATACCACGCTAATCATCGCAGCGCATGCACGTGCTATTTGCGATAGTACATTGTATGTACATGCAAAAGAAGCCTCATAGCATCATGCATGGTGGGTGGTATCATAATAAACAAGCATGAACCATAACACTGAGTCAGGGCTGGAGGCACGTATGATGCAACCACGCCATCAAAAGCAAATGCAGGATTCTCTCGCTCACTTCTTAATATACCCCAAGGGTTGGCTTTTATTACGTTAGATACGCCTGTAATGATTGGAATTTCACACCAAGACATCTATCGAATAAATAGCACTTGCTGATATCTCAAGAGGAGAAACCAATAAATATGCCAATGGCCAAACAACAAGGTTTGATCCATTGGCATTGAAAGTAAACCTTCAGCATGCACGTCTTGAGACAAATCCGGCACAAAACTATAGATTTCATCCTCAGCCAACAGCACGGTTAGCTTATTCGTTTTATTCTAACAACGGTAACAACAACTCTTTCTATTCCTCTCAAGCTCTACTTTTACTCTATGTCTACATTGCTAATTTGCCATTCGTCGTCTGCCATGGACTCGTGTCAACATTGGTGCCTTGGTTACGTGTCATGTCTACGACAGCGTATGTGACCCATCGCCTGCTTGTACTCGTTCCAACTTGCTGTTCTCCACAGCCTTGCCGTTTACCAATGACACTCCTACAGCAAAACGATAGTCAACAGTGGTCATTCTCGCAACTTGCACAGGATTGTGGAATTCAGTTTGGTCATCTTGCGAAAGGTAGCTACCAACAACAGGGGGAGGTTACCGGTAATCCATTCGCATCATATTCCATAGACATGTCTTGTATGGCTACAGTCGTTCGTACGTATAATAGGATGGGCACATGGATGGATTTTTGTTTCAAGCTGCTCAGCACGTTTTCTTTTAACAAGCACCGCCTCCGTTAAAGCTACTCCATGATGGTGGATTTTTCGGCACTCGCAGCACCAAAGAAAGGATTGAACATCGTACACACTCCATGTTCAAGCACATCTTGGTATACGATCCAGAGTTACCCCTTCACATGCCTTACATCTTGTCGTTGTGCTGTTTGATGGTGCGGCTGTTTGTGAGACATGGGATCACTGGTATACCCAGCAATCAGGTATGGATAGATGAGGTGTGGTGATGCTTTGGATCCATGGAGTAGCATTTAATGACGATGAGCGTCTTAGATACGTTTATTCAACCAGGATCCAGCATGGCCATTGTATCCAGGCAATCGGGAGACCGCTTAAAGTTGGATGATGGAACAAAGGATGTGGCTAGAGTGCTTTTAGTTGGGATACCTATGAAGGTAGGTGCTTTGTACGATAGCATAGTCCTATGTTGTCTATAAAAATAAAAGGGGATCACTATAAAAGCTTCACGAAGGAATGAGGATTACTTGTAATGGCTATTGGGAAAGAAGATGGATCGTTAAAGTTTACGTACCCTTTATCGTCGCACACACATATACACTCACGCAATATCATCACCATTGCCAATGATGGCATCCTTGAATCACTATTAGCAATAAACCTTGCAACCTTTTGTCAGTGATTGGATAGTGCTGCGTTGTGGGAAAAACGATTTACCACATCATTATCCTTCTCACGCTTCCTTGTGAGACCCTGCAAACATCCTCGTGTCACCCTTACTTCAATATGGTATATCCAAGTGATGAGTATTCAATAAATGGTCAGTGCCTTATCAGGTTGATAGAGAGCATTCAATCATATACTTATTTATTCATTCAGCATTGAGGTATGGTTGCTAAGAATGTACCTACCAGTTTTACTCCTTGGGATGAATACCAGCTGGCGTTACACAGTAACGAAATAGATGATGATTCAACACCTTTTGTTTTTATGCTCACTTTATCAAACATATCAAGAGGCATGCAGCACCTTGCTACGTTGTATGAAACCTTCGGTCTTTATGATGAAAAATAAAAACATGGTTTGGCACGAACCATTGATGGAACCTAAGTTTACACGTAATAACACGTGGTGATTTGTTTATTAACCATCAGGAGGTTATTATAATCCATCATGGTATGTACTACATGTGCGATAGGAATACTTGGAATGACATTATCGGCAGGGAACGTTTGTCAGAGCCATGGGTGATAACATCATGTACGACATCCATCCAGTAGCCGTTGTTACACCAACTTTAATCCGGATGAGATGATGGATGCCAACGTACGTGTAGGTTTATGCCCCCAATGATCAGCCGGCATTCGGTATATAGTCGTTTCAGCGTTATTGGTAGAGCTGATAAAATCCAATCGGATGCTTTGATAGAGGATTTGCTGTGCTTATGAGAAGCAAACAATAATGATCGTTGGAGTGCTTTTATGAATAAGACATTGTATCCTCCTCCAAATCCTTTTATTGTATAAAAAAATCCATCAAGAAACATTGGCTTTATGGGTGAGTTTTGAATTTCAGAGCAGGTTGTCTAGTAGGGTATTGAGGAAAAGAGCGTTCATGTATATGATGGCGTCGGGTGGAGTGGTCGGCCTGACAACGGCTGTGTAACACTGCGTACCTACAATACAAGGAGGAGGTTATCAGTTGCTGTTTACTCTGCGACATGTTGTTGATCGAGACCAGAATTGACCGCTTGTGCCCTACCCGATCTGCTATTTACAATGAGAACCCTTCCATTGACGACGAGATTAAGGATCTGACAACGCATGTACAAGAGCATGTCGAAAAGCTCTTGTCGACTCTTAATGCGAGAGCATCGCTACTCTTGAAAGCCGAACGACGTGAACTGGCCCTGAACGATGCGCTCGCTATGATGTGTATAGCACCTTCTTCACCCTTGGGCTCTCTCTGTGCAAGTGGGATTGAAACGCTTCGAGGACAGTACGCGTCAGCCATCAAGTTGTATGGTTATGGATTGAAAAAAGTACCACGCTCTCACCCACAATATGAACAACTTGTCAAAGCACGAGCAGCAGCAGAGGACATGAACAACAAGCGTATTGATTTCATCAGCAAATTGCCATTGGATATCGTGACACAGAATATCGTTCCAAGGTTACTGCAAAATGAAACGACGATTCATGTGGAGAACCCATCCAGCTATTTTGATGTGTGTCGAACATGGCGACAACGAATGGCGGCAGCGAATGGATTGGATTTTGAAATTGGACCTGAAGATTTATCAGTGGAGGGATTTTTACGTGTATGGGATATGGCACCTTTTTTGCGATCATTGACAGTCATGCAGCCCTATGAAGAGTTCTTATCCAAAATCACCAAACGGCGTGGCAACTTTAGGATGTTGAAAAAGTTGCATATCTATGGTAGGGTAGAAGGAGGGTACAAGTGCATACACATGTCATCCTAACATGTATCATTTAGAATCTATCGAACGAGGATACGATCTTCTGCTTTCATCTTTACGATCATTAAGCAACACGTTGACGGAGCTGGAGATTGAATATGGACATCGTACAACACCCAAGCAGCGTTATCGACTATGCGATCTCGTGGACGCATGCCCCAATCTTGTATCAATACGCGTGGATAGTGGAGATATCGACATGTCATCCGTTACCAAGACATACCCAAATCTTAAAAAGTTGGAGTTGAGCACGAAGGATCCCGAAGTAAACGAAGGCAACATCCCATCCCTTTTACGACCATTTCCTCAATTACGTGCCTTGAAGCTGCTGCCTGTATCAGGCTCGGAGATTTTTTCAGCCATTGACCAACATTGCCCACTATTACAACACCTGATCTTGTCGAATGGTCCTGTGCAATTTCCTGATATCGTGGACATGCCAGCGAAAAGAGGGTTACGTGCCTTGAGTGTTCCCACCAGTGGCCGTCTTGGAGACTTTAAGGAGGGTGACATGGTGCAATACGTGATGAAACACAGTGAAACGATCGAGGTGTTTGATGTTGGAAAAAGTTTTGGATATTATGCACCCATTGGTTCATTGCAGCAGGAAGCGAGACAACAAGCAACATTCAGACAATTGCGCCAAATCGCCTATCCTTTTGATGCTGAAGAAGGCCTTGTTACGTTTATATTGTGGATGATGCAACGTGCACCTCATTTGGAATCGATCGAAACTGTTGCTGGTCCTCAACAAACACGCATCATGCAAGAGCTGCTTAAACCTACCCATTCCAATCTCAAGCGACTTGGTATGCAAGCAAGCCCTTCTATATTGGAGGATGAGAAGCGATTGATACAACATCATTTGGATCTTGGACAGCAATCGAATCTGACAGAAATGAAGATTGAACTCTCAAAGGACCTTCTTGACCAACCATCATTCATATCAATGATTCCTGGATTAACACAGCTAACCAAGCTTGAATTATACACCATATCGGGATGTCCTCTCCGTTTCTGGAAGTCCACCCTGGAACAACTGGCTACTGGATGCCCTGCCCTGGAACAGCTCACAGTGACAACAACCAAAAGGAGCGAGACTGTGTTTTTAAGTGAAATTTGTTACGTATCTTCTCATCCAAACCTCAAACGGATCATCATCGATGCCACGGAGGTGTGCGGTGATGCATTGGAATTTTGCGAGCTTTTCCCGAACCTCGAATCACTGCATCTCAACGTTGAGTCGTATACCTTGGATGACTTTGATTGCTTAGACGAAGCACCCTTTAAATTCGTATTTACCCAAAAAAAGCCTGAACGTCTCCTTCTCTTGTTCTAATAAAGACGTCAAAGTATACTCCCACTTTGTCTAGCATGTAGCAAATATAGAATCATACGTTTCATACAACGATAAAAGTACTCCAATGAACATGTCCTTTCACCAAAACTAAATGTACTCTTGGATAGCAACCCGCTTGATCCGTGTTTTCAGAAATAGCTACGTATGTCCATCACCGACATATATAAAAGATCCCGTTCCGCGCCTTTAAGCATTTACAGTGCTTATGTTTTATTGTAATAGACAACTAAACTAATCTCCCTAGCTTTACCTCAATGTAGACCAAGTCCATGCCCATCCTGCCTTCGTCCAACATGCGCTGGCCTCCAGGTTCCGTGGTCAAGCATACCCAAAAGATCCATCATCCAAACCTACCTTATATAACACGAGCATCACCATCCACGGTTTTCTTGGAGAGAGATTGTACCAGTAGCAGCATTACTTCCGGCATGATAACATTATCCCCAAACATCGTGTAAACGTAGAGGAAGATGAACCTTGAAGACACGTTGATCCTGGACCCATGTCAAAAGAACCTTGTTGTGCCCTTTATGATCGCTCTCTAATGGTCTGAGTGATGATGATGATGATGATGATGATGATGATGATGATGATGATGACGGCAGCTGTAAAAGCAAGTACTGTTAATACTCTGGGGGTGCTATCACGTATTCCCTTGCACGTACAAATACCTAAAGCTATGCAACATGCATACGCGTAAGATTGTGGGAAGCCTTGGTTTGCTGGTATGACGTTTATCTGGTAGGGAATTGTTGGTTGACTTTCGAGTTGTAGAAGATGACCTAATCACGACGGCAAGCTCTTGAATAAGTGAACGCGATGCTCATTGTTGACGATCGTTTTGGGGTGGAGGAGTCTTTCTCAACCGTAAACGACGTCTAGCGTGGGAGAAAAGAGGAAGCTGAAACAAGCGCAAGCAAGGAATGAGCCACCACAAGTCGTTGTAGAGATGACGCGTAACCCGGAGACGAATGTTGGTTGAGGAGCAATTCTGTTGGTAGATGGCGAACGAGGAATGTCGAAAAGGAGTAAAGTAAAGCTTTAAAGAGAGTCGGAAAGTATTGCCGTTGTTGGAATGGAGGGGAATAAAAGAGTAGCCGCTGTTGACTCGGAGGATTTAGCGAATGGGATTTTATGTCTGTACGCTCACAGAGGAGTTCCTGACAACCATGACAATGATGACAATGATGATGATGACGATGATGATGATGATGATGACGATGATGATGATGATGATGATGATGATGATGATGATGATAGTGGTGGTCGCTGTCAACGCAATATACATGATGAAACGTTTGTATCGTAATTGAATTGGATCTTTATTCCATACCAGATCCACCCAAACGGTCATTTGCTTCCACCAAGTTTACATATGACACTGTTGTTATATTATAAAAAGCAACATTTATCATTTTGTGTGGCTATTTACAGAAACCAATCGTAAGTCAGGGAACAGTCATCCACATAGATTGGCGAACAATATATGAGTCAGCATGGGGTATCGAAATGGGTACTTGAAGAAGTTTGTGTTGTGGGCACATGATGATAACTGTTATGGCTTATCTTTATTTCATTATTGCAATGAAAGATTGGAGAGGTATCTATTATCCAGAACTATCAGAATCTTCAGAACAATCAGAGGAGTTTGAACATGTATGGACGACGATCTTTAAGTGAGGTCGTTGTCCTTGGAGACGCCGAATTCCATCCATGTTGCCGGCTTTCGCATGATAGATCCGAAGACGTTTTAATTGCTCAAGCGTTTGGAGTGCTTGCCAAAAATCGTCCTTGCAATATGTGTCGATGATTGAAAACGCAAATTCTTCCAAATGCTCAAGTTCTTTCAAGGCGTTAATTGCACCGGTGGATGGTGGCGCCATCATGCCGATGATTTCAAGGCGGGACAAACGAGGACATCCTTTGGGAAGTCCATGAGCAAGTCTTACAATTGGATAGTAATGGCTTTCAAAAGAACGCTGCTTCCTTGTACAGTTGACCTCCAAACTCTCAAGTTGGCCAAGGTGATGGATTGCGTCGATCACATTGTACATGCTCTCCCAGTTGTGGCAATGAACAACAAGCTCTCTTAGGTGGGAATGATAGGAAAATCGATGTAGATAACGTGAAACGGCTGCTGTGATCTGACGAATGCGGCGTGTATAATGCAACTTGAGTGCTAGCCTCTTTAGCTTGGGTGGGATTGTATCAAGCACTGAAGCGTTACCCCTGATTGTACGGGATGATATCTCCAATTCCTCAAGCATGGGTGCGTTGCGTGGTATCCACCATCCAGAGCGAATAAGACAAAGTTTCTTCAATCGATCGTATTCAATGTTGTAGATCTCCTCTGGTTCATCACCAACCTTCACATCAAAGTCGATACATTCGAGCGTTCTTTGTTGCTTCGTTAATATAGGAGTAGCATTTGTCCAAGGATTATCAAACGGCAAACACAATCTCACAGAAAACTCTGTAATCCCAACATCATCACATTGCCGTCCTTCCGCCAGGTAGGTGATGCTATCAGCTGGTTCCTCATCGTCGTTATGGTGAACGCACCTCATCCATGGGTAGTGATCCAAAACAACACTTGTCAATTGTGGGTCGAGACATGGCTGAAGCGAAAGTGTCTTGAGTGATGGAAAGTGCTTGCTAATCGCTATCACCGTGTCGGATGTAACAGTCTCTTGTGCATCAGCTAAGCATAATGTCGTTATATTGGGCCATGATGTCGTTGGAAGAGAGTTGAAATTGCAAACAGATTGTTGGCTAATGTCGAGTGAAACCAGGTTCGGGCAGTTGTGGAGAATGTCGTGTATTGGTAATGCGATCTCACTTCCCGGGTACCAGCATAATTGTGTCAAAGTGTTGCCGATTGACTTTAATGATGAAACCATGTCATCCACACAAGCGATTGACGAGCCTTATAAAGAGATGTAGATAAAATCGCATTAAACAATGAATACGGCTTACCTTTAATCTGTAACTCACGTAACGAGTAAAGCTTGTTGTTGCACAGTACATCACAAAGCCATGTTCCAGGATTATCATCTACGACCTTTAATACCTTGAGATGATGAGCAAGCTGAATGACGTGGCATGGCGTGGCAGCCCCATCAAGCGCAGTATCGAAATAAAGTTCATCCACAGATCGATAAATGCGATCGCGCCATATAGTGGATACACCCAAACAAGTGTTGTGTCTCGAAAAGGTGATATAAGAAGGATCCATAAACATGGGAATGAGGGTTGTAATAACAATGTCCAGTGGTAGTTGGCTAATAAAGTCGATGCGTGTGTTTTGGCGTTGCTCAGCATCCGTTTTGGCACGTTGCAGTGTATCATAGTGCGTATCCTTGGTGTCGGCCATGCTCAGGCCAATGTTGCATACACAAATAGCTTCAAGCTGTTTTCCTTGTTCGCCATAAATCTCGGCTTCGCGTATATATCCAAGTGCTGAAAAAGGCGATAGCTGTTGCATAACTCTGGCATCGTGAAGAGCAGATTCAAAGTTGGCGCACTTTGTCAACCCAATGGCGCGTCGATTCAGAGCTGACAAGATGGGTTCAAGGGATTGATGGAGTTGTGTTGTTGAATCGTGAACAAGCTGTGCATACTTTTCAGAAGAAGCTTTGAGCGTGGGCTGTTTGCATAAATAGTTCCAAATAGAGTCGTCCATTGTTGGTTGGCTGGGAAACAAGCAAACAAAACTCCCCGCACCACCTCAAAGGTTTTAATAGGCTAAATCCCCGCGTCAACAGCAGCCGCTTTATTCCCCCTTTACTCCAACAACGGCTTATTTCTACACTCGACGACTTTCTCTAAGCTTTACTTTTACTCCTTTCGACATTCTTTGTCCCCATCTACCAACGGCATTGCTGTTCAGCCAGCATTCTGGTGACGCGTCATGACCAAAGACAACTTCTCTTGCTTGCTTGCTTCTTTTGACGCTCTTCAAGTTCCTCTTTTACGCAACCGTCTAAACTACCACGGTCGACAATGCCGCCTCCAATGGAAAACGTTCATACACAATCGCTGTCGTGCCATCTTGTTCAAGATCTTGGCGTTGAGCTTGGTCGTCTTGCCTAGTCCAAAGGTATGCAACAGAGCTATGACCGATAAAACGCAACAACAACAATCCAAGCTTGTTTATAAGTTATAGAGATGCACTCGCTCATGGCAACAGTTGTTGAGACATGGAATATGAAGGATACAATTGTGGTATGGCTCATACACTGGGTAATTGCTTCAAGCTGCTAATCATCATCATCTCCAACAGGTACCTGTCAAGGCACTCAACCTCGACGTATGCTGCTGCATTTGATTGCTGATGGATGTTTTTGAAACGGGGTTCGACGATAAGGATTGCACGCTGCATGGCACGTTTTTATCTCGCACAACTTTATATCAGGATCCAATCTCAACTCGCCTTCAGCTCATGGTTTTTATTGTATTCGGCTATTGCACTGTTGGATGGTCTCTATTGTACACCTGGCGCAAGTATGATACATGGATGGGTGGTAATCCTTTGCATTAATGGGTATGTATGGATGATGGGTTGATTGGACACGCTAGCTGAAAGGGGTTTAGGATTGGATAGTCATTCCCTGGAGATACACATGTTGAAAGAAGCCGGGATGGATATGGTAAGAACTATGGTAGAGGCCACCTATAGTGGTCTATGGTTGTATGGGCTAGACTAGTTTTATGGTTGATGAAAATAAAGGTAGTCAACGTAATGTTGTAAAAGATAACATAGAATGAGTGGTATTGGTTCTGGTTAGTGAGCGACATTCGCATCATCATTATATGAACAATCGTCAATGCTTTGAACACATATATCATCATTGCCTTCATCCTCGCCATCCCTCCCCTTTATCGTAGACAAGCTATCATCTTTCTTGAATAAATTTTGAGGATGGTTACCTTGTGTCTTTATCCGCACCCCTTTTCGGCTCTTAGCCTTGCTCACTTTCTCGTTGGGTTATTGTCTTTTCTTAGTGCCAGGCACGTGAGCATAGACGCGTTGCGAATGTGTGCCTCACAGCCGCCTTTCGGTTGTAATTTGTCTTTTTTATCCATGTTGATGGACTTGAACCTAGTAATGCATACCATTTGCATGTCATCAGCGTTTCTTTTCATTCATCTTGGATTACATTCACTTGGAAAAAGTGGTACAATGATGATGGGATCTGGTAACTCAAAAATCATCACCTTGAGGATTCCAATGCATGTGGCAGTTGGCTCGTACAATTACCTTGTTTTTTTGTCTTTGACGATTGTGAAACTATTTCAAAAGCACATGCGTAGCCGAATGCCGTTTATTACGGTGGGTAGGGTGAAGAAGGCAACGTGTGAAGTCATGATGTCTTTGGATGCTGTGTAACCTTAAAGTGGCGTGTCATCTCTCACAAGGTAAATCATGTCGACCCTTTGCTTCATCCTGGATAAAGGCAACGTTTTATTTCGCTAAACGATCACTTTGGGTCTAAAGGTTGACCATATCATCAATCTTAGTTCTTTGCATATTCTTGCAGTAAAAGAGTGGTAACACAAGGATGCATCATGTGGCACGAAGGGCAGGTGTGGTGAAGGCCTAAACCATAATCCTGCAGTGCTGCTCTCTCTTATTTATGCATTTGCTAATAGTGGTAGATGGCTCGATTGTATGTGACAAGCCAATGGGCCGTCTTTGTAATATGCATGGCACGGATCATGATACCTGGTGGCAGGTGTTTCCAAAATATCCTACTGCCATATTTCGGTCGGTACCTTTCTCTTACTCTCACTCTATTTCACCCCACTTTTACCAACACCCTCCAGCAGTGACACCTTCAATGAAGTACAAAGCTTTTACAATTCAACAACCTAATTCCAACAACCCACGCATTCCTCCATGTCAACTTGGACCCAATCTCGCCATGGGAATCTCAAAGCTTGCCAACATTCATGTTGCCTTCCACAATGTCAAGCTCATGACACAACAGTCGCCATGTACACCACTTCGACCATCCTGTGTAGTCAATGCTTACAATGTACAAGGTAACGAGTAGAACGTTATCCATGCATGCAACCAGAGGTTCTCACTGCAGCCTTTACAAGGGGTGCATAAACGCATAGCTGCAACATGCCAAGGTGGATGCCAAATAAGCCTGGACCAGACTCATTGAACTCTCTCAGACAACGCACTTTCGAATGGCATGGAAACGCTCGTGGTGATGTTTATGAATGATCATTTGCTTTGGATCGATTATTGCATGCATGTATGCGTCTTGTCTCTTCCGCGATCAAGGCGATGGTTTACATTTAAGGATGTCTTGGGCCAAGCTCCGGATACAGAAGGATGTGGACAGCTCTTCCCGATTCAACAGGGTACAAAGGCGACGACTATTGGATGACATTCGCAAGGAATATGGCTGAAGGATGTACCACATGATAATGGCTTCTGGTGATTAAAGGAGATGCACGTTAATGGTATGTTGGATAAAGGCCTGGCTAGCTTGTACTCGTGTTGACCATTATCTTGCTTAGCTTTGCGAATCGTTACTTTATCCATCGTACCAGCATGAACCACTTTGAAGGATTTCACTTGTTACCCCTATGTTGGCATCGCTTGGCTTGCAGCAACTTGGTGTCTTACCTTTGACAAGCATGATCACGCATACGAGGCAGTGGTTCAGTGGCTATGAGAGAGTAAGTATGTTGGATGGATTATAGTCAAACAAAGCATTTACCTATTGCCCAGGTGTTGACGTTCAATATGCGTTGGCCGCGCCAAGCAAGTGTCCGTTTACCAAACGCATTTCACGTTCGAGGTGATCATGAAGGTGTACAAGACTTCTATACGGATCAACGGGGTACATGCGAAAAGGACCGCAATAGCAATGTTTGCATCAAGGACTCTATTGGTACATTATTGGTATGTATAGTCTTGCATCTACAAATCAGGTCATGTTCATTAAAGAGGCTTACAATGAAACAGCAGCAGCACATACTGGATCGCATGGATACAAGGTTATCTGCAAGCATCATTGAAATGGTATTGGGAATACCTCAAGGTAAAGTGCATCATTTTAGGATTTGTCACCTTCAAGTGCACTGATGAAAGGAATAGGCTCTCTTTCGGCGATGCTATTATTATTGCGGCTGCACGTCAAGGATGTCATTGTATAGTACTGTGCTCTCCTGGGGAATTTTGGCCCGGAAACAGTGTGACTCAAGATGCGATGGCAAGGCCAATTTAAAAAGGCATCCGCTGTGCACACGGCCTCCATCCAAGTGCGGCTATTGATTTCCTTGCCTACAGAGAGAAGGTGGATATCTCTTATGATGCCAATTTCAGGATCCAATGAGAGTATGGTACATATGGTGGCATACCTTGGCGCTGCAGGTTGGTTATTGTATTGCCTTCGGATGGTGTATTTGGTTGCAATTCCTTGTGATCACCATGGCTCAGGTATGTATGACTCTCATGCTTTTTGGGGACCTTTGCTGAAACGCCTACCATTATTATTTAGAGCGACCATTGCAGAGAGCTACTTGTCTTTTGGTGCTTTGGAGTTTACAAGATCACAGCTATCATTGCTGAGTATTGTTGGATGAGTTTGGACAATTGTTTATGGTGCATCTTTTATAGGTGAATCATGCCAGCCATGGGAAAATGTTTATGTCTTTGGTGGTGTCAACCTTTATTGCGCCTCGGGTGGTTGGTTACCAAGCAACGGGCGATTTCTCTGGAGAATGTCAGCCAATGAACGTCTTTTATGAGTGGATTGTATCAGCAACAAGTAACAGCATCCATATTGTTGGTGTCATATCAAGCTTTATCCCATCATCTGGTTCTTCTCGTTATCGGCAATTCGGTGAGCATCCTGAAATGAAGTTATCTTATCGATTGATCACATCAGCAGCAAGGAACAACCTATATCTTTGATATCAGCAAGCGTTCTATCTCTTGGTGGTTCTGGATATTGGCGATTCCTTTGATGGATCTTTACAACTATACGTGTCTTATGGATGGATCATGTCATCAACAAGCGATGAGAGTCCGCGTTGACAGCTTTGGTGTTACCAAGGTCATTTATGCATCTCCTCAAGGCATTCATCGTCAAGCTGCATTCGATTTCCAATGAAAAACGATTGCCATTCACATCGCTCTTTAGCCATATGTACGTCACTCCGCAGCTAGGATCTGGTTTGGGCTTTTCGATGCACAATGCTTTCTCGATTTGCATGTGGTCTTGGGCAGCAAGGATTGTCTCGTTGTCTCTCTTTGTAAGGGCTCTTCGGCATCATGTAAGTATGCTATCTCTGGTGGTATAAGTATTACTCAACCTTCTCACTGCATATGCCCATAAGGTATCGTTCCATGGCTTTCAAGCCGAGTACCACCGTAGCGGGCTTTATCAACAAGCGGACGATTGCAAAGCATAGGCTTGATTTGGATATCAGCAGGATTTCATGCATATGGCTATCATTGGTAAATATTGATCCGTTCATCTTTTCCACGCTTACCAACCTTCTCTTTCACTGTAGTATGTGGGTTATTCAGCAAGCTACTTGTCTTCTGGTTCTTTGGAATTTTCATGGATGAAGCTGTCATTGAATGTCGACATGTTTTCGTGCGTATGACTATCTTTGGTAAATAGCGATCCGTTCTCTTCTTCAACGCCTGCTAACCTCCTCTTTTATTATAGTATGTGGGCTATTCAGCAAGCTACTTATCTTCTGATGCATTGGGATTGCTATGGGTGCAGCTGTCATTGGATGTCAACGTGTTTTCGTGCATATGGATATCATTGGTAAATAGTGATCCGTTCATTTCTTCAACGCCTGCCAACCTTCTCTTTTATTATAGTACGTTGGCTATTCAGGAAGCTACCTGTCTTCTGGTCCTTTGGAATTATCATGGATGAAGCTGTCATTGGTAAATGATGATCCATTCTTTCTTTCAATGCCTACTAATCTGCTATATTATCTGAGCTATTCAGCGAGCTATTTGTCTTATGCCCTTTGGATTCCTGATGGATGCCGCTATCATTGGATGTCGACAGAGATTCATTCATATGGCTACCACTGGTAATTGATGATCCATTCGTTTCTACAACGCCTGCCAACCTCCGCTTTTATCTTAGCATGTGCGCTATTCATCACGCTACTTTTCGTTTGGTCCTTTGGGATTTTCATGGATGCAGCTATTATTGGATGTCAACCTGTCTTCGTGCATACTTGGGTATTATTGGTAAATAGTGATTCGGTTATTTGTTCGAGGGCTACTACTCACATGAAACCTCGCATTGTCGTTATCGGTTCAAGTGTAAAGGATATTGTTAAGGCACACACTGTTACAAGCGGGGCGGCGTGGAGTGCACAAATCAGGAACAATGAAAGGAACGACCTTCTCCCATTCCCGCTTCACAACGATGCAAGGTAAGACCAACTCCATTTACACTCTCCGTACCACTAACTTCTGGCATTGCCAACAATGCACATCGTCAACGGGTGAACAGGTGGTCAATGGCGACACATTCAGTTACAACAAGCACGTGCGCGATCTACCCATCACACAAGCTTCCATTCCAATACAACACGTAAGTTCAATCGCTGCAATTCCTTTTATTGTTCAAGTCGAACATTGTGGTACTAAAGTTCGCGTGTAGGTTGGTGTTGTCTCGTCTATACAAGACCAATTGAGGCGTCGTGTGCCTTCCTTACCGAGTTGTCCACAATGAGAGTTCTCAAGACGTCTTTACATTGCCTCTTTTGGGTATGCTGACAACAAAAGCGTGTGGGTTGGTTTGACTTGTTACCTTACACTTCACTTACTGTAGCTTGGACACGTTGGATTATGGCACCTGTGGCAGCAACAAGATACGGATCTCAAAGCAAGAATGCTGTATGGTTGGCTCAATGGTATGCATGGATGGCATTGGATATACAAAGCAAAACCTGTTAATTAACGAGCCTTACAATGAAACAGCAGCAAGACAATATGGATGACATGGAGATACGGTTTTATTTGAAGCAACGATGCTATTGAGAAATACCACAAGGTAAGAGGTTCATTGTGGGATTAGTTGGATTCAAGTGAGCTTACCAAACATCATACAGTGGCAGGGCCTCTTCCGGCAATACTATTATTATCAAGTCTGCACGCCAAGGACGCCATTGTACTACACTTTCCTGTGGAGCTCTACATGTTGTGCCCGGGAACAGTGCGACTCATGTTGCGGCCTCAGGGATTTAAAAATGCATCCTCTGTTCGCACGGCTCCATCCTTTGACGGCTATTGATCTTCTTGCCTTTAGAGAGAAGATGGGTATCTCTATTGATGCACTTCATCGCGTCGATCTACAGGAGAGTACCGGTACAATGACGTTTCTTTGGCTGTGCGCTTTGATTATTACTTTTACATCCTGATGGCCTATATGGTTCCCAAGTCTGCGGATGATGATTGCGTGATTCAGGTATGTATGATTATCATGCTTTTTCGAGACCTTTGCTGAAACGCGTACTATTTTAGAGCGACCACTGGAAGCAACACACATATATGGCCAAGTCCTTGATTGCAACGCCCAAGGTGCATTTATTGGAATGGCGATTATGCGAATGTTCTATAGTGCACATTGGTAAGTGCTCTTGTTAGTATTGCCGAAATGGAATGCTGATGTTGTGCTATTGTATTATAGTCTTCGACTATTGCACAGCGCTGCTTGTCTCTTCGTGCTTCAAAGTATACGCATTCACGGCTATGGCTGGTTAGGTTTGTTGGATGAGTTTGGGAAATCATTCACCATGAATCTCTCATACGTGAATGATCTTAGGAACGCGGGCAATGGATTACGTCTTTTTGGTGTCGTCAATGGTTCCTCGCGCGTTATTCACGAGCAACTGGTTATTTCTTGTGCGAAGGTCAGCAACGCACACCTCTTGTGGGTGGATCGTATTATTGACAAGCAACAGCCTTCATATAGTTGGATGCACGCCAAGCTTTACCCGTCGCCATGTGGACTTGATTCAACCCATTTGGTGCATGTCTTGAAACAAAGGCCTCTTACCGGTTGATCATGTCATGAACAATGGACTTCTCCTATATATTGGGTGCCCGTAAACTTTCCATATCCTGTGCTGTTGTGTTATCGGTAATTGCTTTGGCGCACCGCCACTTCGATTCAACATCTCTTATGGATTCAATCGACCTTTTGAACACAAACGGCCACTTGTATATCTTTGGTGTCAGCACGCCTTCCACGTCATGGGCGTTCTGGATCGACAATCGCATTCACGGATCTCTGCAACTAAAGTGGATCGTGTCATCAACAAACAATGAGAGCTGCGTTGACATCTCTGGTGCTACCAAGGTCATCTACGCATCTCCCCAAGGCATCAATCGTCAAGCTGCGTTCCATTCCATATGAAAAACGATTGCCATTCACATTGCTTTTTAGCCACACGTACGTCACTCCGCAGCTAGGATGCTGGTTCGGGCTTTTCGATTGATGGCTTCTACGATTTGCATGTTGTCTTGGGCAGCAAAGATGGTCTCGTTGTCTCTTCTTCCAATGGCTCTCAGGATAATGTAAGTATACTTGTGTTGGTGGTACCGATATTGCTCAAGCTTCGCATGGCATTTTCATCTCAAGTGTCATTTATGGTCTACAGGTCCAGTGCCAACACAGGGTGTTCTATCAAGTGGTCGATTGCAAAGGGATTGGTTTGGTTGGGATATCGAATGGTGTTCATGGATATGGCTGTCATCGGTAAGTAGTGATCTTTATATTTCTACAACACGTACTTACCTTCTCTTTTATTCTACTATGCGGGTGGTTAAGGGAGCTATGTGTGTTCTGGTACTTTGAACTATTCATGGATGCTGCAACCATGGGCCGGCAAGAGCGTTTTGTGCATATGGCTATAATTGGTAAATGATGATCCATTCATTGCGTAAACGCCTACCAACCACCTCTTTTATTATAGCATGTGAGATATGCAGCATGCTATGTCGGCTTTGATGCTTTGGAAATGCCTTGGATGGATCTATCATAGGTACGTACTGCTCTATGCGCTTCTGAAAACCGTTTGCTGACCATCATTTATACATAGGTGAACCATGGCAACATCAAGCAGCATTAATACGACATCTTTCAGCGCTTGCAGGCTTATTACATCATTATATGATTCAAGTGATGCATCGTGCTCAGCATTTCCTATTGTGTACGTCTGCAACAACATTCAATGACTCCAAACCTCTCGTTGACTTCATCCTTTCTATGTTTCACTCTGATTCAAGTACTCTATAATCCTTCGGTTGGTGTCCCTTTATGCATGCTCAGTATCGGTGGATCATATCAGCAACAATCACGAGGCAGCCATTATCAATCGCAAGCCAATCTTTGGTAACACCAACATTCATCTGATCGCTTCATGGCTCTCGTTATTTGCCAATCGCATACAAGGGCGTTCTTCAGTGAAGTCTTTTATGGATGCATCATATCAGGTGGACACATCAATGCTATGCCTCGTTTCGGCGTTATCAAAGTCTATTCATCGTTCAACGCATTCATCGCCAAATATCGCTTCATTTCTTCCCAATTCATTGGTATGCATACTTTTGGATCTACAATACAAGTGCTATCAATTAACGAGCTTTCCAGTGAACCAGCATCGACAGATTACGGATGGCATGGGACTACGATTCGGTTTGAAGCAAGGTAGCTATTGAGAACACAAGGTAATAGGGGCCATTATGGGATACGTTGTATATAAGCGCATTTACGGTGGAAGATATGCAATCCCAGAATCGACAAGGCGTTTTCCACGGTTATACCCTTACCATGCCGAAAATGGTATTGCACTATGTACTCTTTTGGGGGAACCATGTCGTCTTCAAGGAACGTGTGCTCATGAGGTTATGGCCTATTGCAGGACCAATGTTTATTGCACCTGGATGGCGTATGTCGTTCGATGTCTATGGGATCATTCGGATTGGGGTATGTTTTATTCGGATGCTTTTTGGAAACTGTTGCTGAAACGTTTACTATTTAGATGGACTACCGCAAGCAGCCTAAACCTATGACCAAAGAGTATATGACGTTGTCAGCCATGGTAGCCATTGGGTACGCGTCACTCTAGTGCAATGGAAAAATGGTTACCAACCTATCGCTTCTAGATGGATCGCATTGCAACAAGCACATGTTTTGGGGATTTGAATCCGCAGAATGGCATTTACCATTGCTAGGTATTGTTTAAGGGTCTGGAAGATTGTTTACTATGCCTTACGTAGATCCATCATAGATCATCATCAAGCTGCCGAGACCTTATCTTCCTTATCATTCACGTTTACATGAGCATCGGGTGGTTGTTGCGTACTGCCAATTTCTCGCACGGCCGCGTATCGACGTAATGGTTTATCGATGGATCGTATGGACAACAAGCAACAACATCTATGGCTTTGTGGTGCCAGCAAGTGTTATCTCATCATCTGTGGATCCATGTTACGGAGAACCTGCGGGTGGATATCTCCTGGTTCCCAACTTTTATCGGCGGGTTACTCTGCATCAGTAACAGGCACAAGGCATTTACCTATGTTCAGGATCACACCTATTCGATTCCCGTATGACTTTGAACATCGCGTACTGTCCCTGATTTAAAAGTCTTTGGACATTGGCTCATGTATGGATTCCTTCGCATGAAGTAAGTATGCAGTGTTTGGTAATATCAATATTACTCTTCTCACAACATGTGCCCGCTAGGTACGGTTGCTTCGCTTCAATTCTTGGTACCAACCTACTACATCCCTTGAACGTGGATCATCCGGAAGAGTGTAACCAGGGTCTCGTACATATGGCAACCATTGTAAACCGATCCCGCAAGCTTTTTACGACACTTGTCAAGTTCCTCGTTTACAACCTATAGCGGTGGATTGTGACGCTACAGGTACGCTTTGGATTGGATTTACAACGTGAGACTAGGTGATTAACAAGCATTACAATGCCAGAGCATCAATACATCTTTGGAGCGGATGGATACAAGGTGACTTGCACCAGCAATGTTACAAAGGTAAAAGGGCTGGGGTTGGTTTCATTCCAGCATCTTGGCAACTCCTCGGAAGGATATTGATTGAGGTAATCCTTTATAGATGGATCATATGAGCAATCGGCAGCGGGCATTATTTCGGTTAGGTCTCAGCAAGCTTTATCCCGCCACCTGTGCTTTGTGTTACCTCGTGATTTTTGTTCCGAGCAACGTGTTTGATGTATTTCTTCCGGGTCTCATCCTTTGTTGGTGTGCGAATGACTCCCTATCTTCGACGTTCACGAGACGAACACCTTTATCGGGCATCATGTTGATGCAATTACCAATATGGTTTTGGCTATCAAGCACCATCGTTTTGTTGAAAGAGATTACCAACAATCGTCCATTTATCGAATGCTTGATCTCACGTAAGTGTGTTATGGTTTATGATACCGATCGTCTTCACGCCTCTGACATGCGTACTGCCAGGCATCCGTCCTTCGCTTACTTGCATGTGAGAATGTCCCATATCTTGGCAAGTGGACCTTTGCAAAACGTCGGGGTCCTTTGGATATTTACAAATTTGATGGATATATGGGGACCACTGGTAAGTAATGATCCGGTCTTTTCTACAACGCCTACCAACATCCTCTTTTATGATAGCATGTAGGCTATTCAAACAAACTACTTCTCTTCTGGTGCTTGGATCCTTCAAGGACGAACCTATCATTGTGAGTATCGTACATTTGTGTTCGGGACAAATGTTCACCATGCATTTATAGGTACACCATGTCAGGATCAAGCAACAACGTCCACAGCATTTCTCAGTACCGGCACACCGTATTATGTGATTACATTTGAACATCACTTGCATGGACGTCTGCAGCACCAAACAACGGCATTTATACCTTTCGGTGAGCCAAAGCGTTATCTTGTGTCGATCTTTCATTTTGGTCCATATCCTGACACGCCCGCATGTTACGCGTCAATCATATTAACATCAGTCACAAGGTAGCCATGCGCAATGTGGAACATATTTGAGAAGTGTAATATGCGATTTGAGATGTGGAACAAGCCATTTGGGAAGTGGAACAAGCTACTTGCGAAGTTGAACACGCCATTTGAGAAGTGAACCAAGCTACTGCAAGAAGTGGAACAATCATTTCAAGACGTGGAACAACCTATTTGAGAAGTGGAACAACCTATTTTGGATGTGGAATACGCCATTTAAGAAGTGGAACAAGTTATTTGAGAAGTGGAACAACCTGTTGGAGATGTGGAATACGGCATTGGAGAAGTGGAACAAGGCTTTCGAGAAGTGGAACAAGCCATTTGAGAAGTGCGACAAGCCATTTGGGAAGTGGAATACACCATTTGAGAAGTGCAATAGCTACGTGAGAAGTGGAACAACCTATTTGAAATGTGGAATACACCATTTGAGAAGTGGAACAACCAATTCGAGATGTGGAATACGCCATAGGAGTTGTGGAATACGCCATTTGAGAAGTGGGACAAGACTTTCGAGAAGTGGAACACAACATTGGAGAAGTGAACAAGCAATCTTGGAAGTGGATCATGCTACTTGAGATGTGGAACAACCTATTTGAGAAGTGGAACAAGCTACATGAGAAGTCGAACACGACATTTGAGTAGTGGAACAAGCTATTGGAGATGTGGAATACGCCATTGGAGAAGTGGAACAACTCATTTGAGAAGTGGAACAAGGCTTTTGAGAAGCGAAACACAACATTTGAGGAGTGCAACAAGGCTTTTGAGAAGAGGAACACAACATTTGAGAAGAGGAACACAACATTTGAGAAGTGGAACACAACATTTGAGAAGTGGAACACGCCGTTTGAGAAGTGGAACTTGCCATTTGAGAAGTTGAACAAGTCATTGAACAAGTGGAAGAAGCTACGTGAGAAGTGGAATATGCCATTTGAGAACTGGAACATGCCATATGGGAAGTGGTACACGCTACTTGAGGTTCAAGGTTATCGGTTTCGCAAGTCATCATCAAGAAGATTCGTTTCCCTGGAGAACGGCTATCAGCACTCGTTATTGTATGCATATCTCCATGGCAACGAAATTGGAATTGGGTGTTGAGTGGCACTGAACATTGCAGACTTCCATATGGCTTTCACTAGGTACATACATTCCTTCCATTATGTGCAAGACAAATCAGTAACATGCGCATTGATAGGTCTCTCATTCCATCCAGCAATCGTTTGAGTTACTCCTTGGTGTCATGAAGGTTGTCAGGGGCTGGCTACAATTGACGTACTGGGCGCTTTCGTTGTGATGGACGAAGGTCTCTATTTTGCTTTGGATGTTTTTCTCGGGTGCAACATATGGATCATCGTAGGGTTGTGCCTCTCAACTACCATCTCGGTGGGCCGGCAATCAGCTACCTGCAGCTAGTCTCGCTTATTGGTAGATCTTGAAAGCATCATTTATTATTCGTTCCATGGCATAGACCACTGTTGGATTCCCTGAACGGATACCTGGAGCAATCTCGTAGCAAGTGAAAGCTTAAGCTTCTACTATTTAATCGAGAGGAGATCTATTTGGCGCTGTGCACGATGTGTCCCTGGTAACGCCAACCCAAAAGGACGCTTGATGGCAGCAACTACTGATATGGTATTTATTTCTTTGCTATGGTTGGAGCGGGATAGTGTCTTGTGTTGTAGTCCATGACCGGCTTTAGGCCATTTCCGGAAATGGCCTAGGCCACGACGGCAAAAAAAGTGGTGGACTAGGCCATGACGGGATTTGGCGGGATTTTTTCTCGTGGACTAGGCCATGACGGTAAGTGCTCATGTGGCCTAGGCCAATTCCGGATATGATGTTAACCTATCATTCTATAAGCTGCAATTTGGCCCTGCTGATTTTCTAGTTGCACTTCTACAACACGCATTGTATTGTCATAGTAGGCTAAAAAAGAGTACCACTTCCCCATTACAACACGCTCTTCATTTAGAATGCCATAATAGTAGCTTTATATTATGTACGAATAGAACTTCATTTATTTTAAACGGGTGTCACTATTGCAAAGTGGGGGCGATGTGCAAAGGTCAATGGAGGAACAAGATCAGCTTCCTTGTTACAAGATGCAGAAGTGCCGATCGCCAGCAGGTCAATCTTGAATGTAGTTCTGGTTTTTGGAGATTAGTTACATCTGAAAAGAAAAGGAGTTGAGCATGTAGCGCAAGAGTTGATCAATGTCGTACACTACATCGAGCGTTGCAGATTGGCGATTGACAAGCGACATGGGTGATGATCGCGGACACCTTGTGGTGGTGATATTAAAAGACGGGGGAGCGAGAGTGATGTTGGCCGAGATAGAATGCAGCTTCAATTGATGTAGAGTATCTTTTAGCTAATGTATGTATGTGGATAACGAAATACCAAGAAAGCTTTATTTATGATATACAATGGATTTGATATATATGTATACGTGTTGATGAGAAGTAATCCAGGCTACTTCCTTGTTGTTTTTCTCGTCGATGACCGTGTTTGCCGTTTTGTTTGAGATCGTGTAATGCGACGGGATGTTTGCCGGTTTATGCGCTTGCGGTTGCGGTTTCTTGTTGCATTGCTAACTTTGTTCGATGTTGATTCGGGTTGAGCAGCGTCTTCAGACAGGGTCCCTTGGTCGGTGGGGCTATTATTGGCTGCCTCGTGGTGGGATGATGGCTCCGAAGATACCCGAACAGCTTCTCGAAGTGACAACAATCGATCGTTATCATTCACAGTGGTTGCTTGAATGCCTTCCAATGATTTGAAATCGATTCCTCTGAAATCCTTCAGCTCCCTTGCATGGTATCCATTGGCAAGCGGTCCTTTCTTGCAGCGAACCTTGTATATACGATGACCATCGTCTTTGACGGAAACGTCGTATACCATACATGGAAAGTATTCTTGATGCTGCTTGTTGCGGTCGCGTGGATCGATATACAGGCCGACGTAATCACCAATTTTATACACAGGAGGTTCTTTTTGTCTTGCAAGTAGCCTGCAGGTGTTCATGTGTCAGCACGCTATACACTAATCATGAATTCATAATAACTCACTGCTTTTGGATATCTTGCACACTTTTCTCATAATGCTTGGATGCAGCACTTAGGATTGGTTGGTGACGAGAGGCAATATCTAAATGCAGATATCGATTGCGTTAGTGAAAACTTCTTGTCAGCTAATGTTATCTCTATTACCATCGCATGATCCTGTAATAATAGAACCTTGGGTGCTTTCTGTACCATGATTTCCTCTACCTGATGGTGGTCCAAAGATGTCTTCATCATCGTCGTCGAACAAATCGTGAATATCCACCTCGAGATGATTACCATCCTTGTCCACACGAAAAATTGATTCAACGGATGCAGCCATCCCCTCAGGATACAACCCACGATAATCATCAACGTGCTCAATAGGTATACGCATGAGACCTTGGCCAGCAGGAGGGCGTAACTCGATAAACGGTGCTGTCAGGTCATTGGAATCTAGATGTTCACCTACATTTCATCGTGTTATTAATATGTACGACATTAAAAGTTAATGTAAAATGCAATAGGACTTACGATCACCGTTGTTGGTGTGGCTAGCGTTAAAGCTATGATTTGGATCCGGTGTAGAAGAGGTATCATGGTCGTCATCAGCTGTGGGAGTATACGCATTTGCTCTTGATGATCTTCGTGGTCGTCCAAAGTAGTAAAATCTATCAAAAGTAATGTTAAAGCTTGTGGCGTCTTTGGTTGTCAAGGTGAATAAAGACTTACCATATGCAAAATCAGTTTCCATTGGTTCATTGTTATGGTTATCGGTGCTGGTGTAATCTTGATCATTGTCATCATCCAACTCCTCATGACGTTGTAGGGCAGCGTACATAGCTTGATCGCTATCATAGTCCTCGTTATCCTCGCCAGCAGGTTCGTCATCACCAAGTCCAAGATGTTTGAGGTCATCGATGTAGAAGATGTCTTCCCCTTCATTCAGGTGCTTGAGGTACTCTTGCAAATGATGATGTGCTGATGTCTCATCTTGGCCGAAAACAAGGCGATAAGGCGTCGTATTGGTTGTTCTTGTATACCTTGTATTCACCGCGTATACGGCCATGCCAAGCCCTTCCGACCAATGCACCTCTGGATTGTTGTCAACCCATGCATCCAAGACTTCCTCCAATGTTCTGTTTGCACGCTCAACCCCTCCTTGACTTTGTGGATTGCGTGGTCGACCATGGATGAAACGTAGGGTTGGCCATTTTGACTTAAGCTCAGCTTTCTAAAAATAGGCGCTTTTATGAGACCATGTTGTAACGTTTCATGCATTCATATCAATTACCATGTCCTCCGCCTTAAATTCGCCTCCATTGTCGCTTTGAAGAAACACAGGGGGCCCAACTTGACAAAACAACTCGTGAAGCTTTTGACCCACAACTTTGGATTCCTTTCTCAAAAGCGGAAATGCCCATGTGAATTTGGTTCGATGATCCCTGATATGGAAAATATAGCGTGGTTTTCCATTTGGGGTTTTTGCACCACCATAATCAATAAGGTCCATCTATAATTTGGTTTGTGAGATGTTGCACACCATTAATACAATTATGCTTTGTCATACCTGGAGACGTGCCATGAATGATTGGCATGGATTGCCTTTCCCGCGGTTGTTGTTGCTGGTGTACGTCCCTTGCTGGTAACAGCACATGTGCTACAATGATTGATAACAACCTGAATAAAACGCCTTGGGTAATTCATATATCGCTTAAGCTATGCATTCAACATGTGTAAGCGAATCATTTGCAAAAAGATACTGTTGCGAATGGCATTTGATACCTTGTACTTCGTAGCATCTCTGCCACCATGTCCACAAGCTTCATGGGCACTAGTGATGGTGTCGTAGAGTTGTTCCTCAATCGCAATAACCTTATCGGTATTACCTAGGCGTGTCACAACAAAGATGCCGTTGCCCATATCCAGAAGTTGGTAATTTGTGCGTACCCAAGAACGGAATTTGGAAGTACGTGGGTGCGAAGGATTATTGCCCTATGATTGTATCACCAAATTAATAAATGCCAAACATGTTAATGCGTAACAATACCTGCAAGATCGCCTTGATATCGTTATACGTATCCTGATTGATAAACGCCTTCGCACGTTGGTATTCCGCCATGTCGTTTCGGTACTCTGTTAAGAGTTCTTGGAATCTCGAACGGGACAACCATTGGCACTCGTTGGATGTTGTATTTTGGGGAAGATCGGTCATGAGAGATACTTGAAGAAGGTAGAGCTAACACTTGTTCGATGCAGGAACACCCATATTTATATGCAAAAAGCAATCAGGAATTCTCGAGCATGCTCTATCAAATGTATCAATGGGTTCTACTATAGCCGACATTACCCGACACCTTTTTCGTGGAAAATACGATTATCGAAATGCATGTACAACAAAAAGAAGTCATCGCAATGGATACATGTGAAAACAGCACCAAATGGCATTAGTAATATACGCATGCATGACATTCAAAGGTAAACGTATACATGTAATGAGCCACTTTGGTACCCATGTCACGATGCCAGCATCCGTATTTGGTTGAAAATGATTAGCAATACTTGTTGTATCCTCGCACGATTACGGGTACGTTCTCCAAAGCAATCGGAAACCATCGTACAATACTATGGCAGATCGCTACGATATACCTTTCACTTCCGAGGATGAATGTTTTTGTGGCATGACACGGTACCATTGTATATGCACCCGATATCATTACACGTGCACGAGATAAGACGTTTTCGTATTACTGCATTAGAGCTCATTGTTCATCTAAAGCTATCATCCCCGTGTCATTTGATAGGTGGCAGATTATAGACTCCCTGTATGAGCCATATGGCGTTCCAATGATTTGCGTTTATAGGCATTGAGGAACAATAACCTCATCTGTAGCGAACTGTCATGCTTACTCTTAACAAAAGCCATTTTATTCACTCATACACTATTCTAATCCTATCATGTACCGTAAATGACTGGATATTATCCCATCCATGTCCTTGTATATAGCCATAGCGTCCAATAGCAGTCTTCAGCGACATGTGATAAAAAACACGAGTTGAGAAAAGCGATCTCCACGCATCATCTTCAATGGAACCATCTCCATCATCATATCCCCAATACCATCCCTTTGAGCATACTTTCTCCCTGTCATCCAACACCTACCAATCCAATAGAGTCTCCAATAAAGACGTTTTGTAACATGATATCAACCTTGCAAAGTAACCTTCTATGGCCTCGATTTCGTTCATGGTCTTAATGCAAGCTGACACGCTTTGTGGGGCTCTGGTGGCAAGGCGTTTGGCGATGGCGAACAAGATGGAGCCAATGAGGTTGACCAGCATGTGTTTGTAAAGTGCATTGCAATAGTGGTGAAGACGCGTATGACATGCAGGTGGTATCGAGTGCTGTGAATAGTATTGTCTGAGAAGGACGTGTGGTGACAAGAAACCCGCCAAGGACACGCGATGCTTATAGATGGAGAGTTCCAGATGGAACCAATGGCGACGATGGAGAAGTCTCAAGGGTGACAGAAGGAAAAGAAGAGTTGCAAGGCGTGAACAGAGTAGTTGTATAAGATGAATAAAGAGGGTTGTGAAGACTAATAAGCTGTTGGAGTTTTGAGCGTGCTGACCGAGTCGATTTTCAAGTGGAGGCTGCATAATCGGGGAAAATTTTCCAAGTCGGCCTTAACTAGTGGTGACATGAGGACTTCCAACATCTAACCTTGATGTCAAACTTTGCATTTACTTACATATACATATATCTGGAAATGGCCTAGGCCATGGCGGTAAAAAATCCATTGGACTAGGCCATCACGGGAATTGGCGGGATTTTTTCTCGTGGCCTAGGCCAAAACTGGATCCGGGTATGGCCTAGGCCATTTCCGGAAATGGCCTATGGCGTACAACAATTGAGAGGTGAATAATGTGAGATGCTGGCTTACAAGTGGACATGTCTCACTTGGATAATTTGTCTGAGATGTGATAATGACTGTTGTATCAAGCAAGGAATAAAGGTAGACAATAAGTCAGTGATACGAAGATAATGATTGTATTTAAGATGTGCTCGATACATGCGTATTTATATTCTATGGAGTGAAACTAGCTGAG